CTAAAAAAGTCATATTTAGCCTATGAACCTATGCAAGCCAGGCCAAATTGTAACAGCCTATCAATACGAGTGGCGAGAATGTTTACACTGCCGTGCCGGTGATCCGTGTCAGGGAATTCCCTGTCCCCCTCGTCCTGTACTGCACGAGATTCGCACCGTCCCACCACAATAGCTGCAGCTTGTGGACACAACTCGACACCTAATTAAAAGTAACTGCTACTGTTGACTTTACAAATAGTGCGTTTTCAAACAGTGGACGGAAATCTTTTGGCGCTGGGGATCAAATTAAACTCTCTTGTGCTGGCTGGCAGTTTGTGTTTTAGTCTTCTAATATTTGTGTGGAGTAGACTGGGACACCCCTAAAGTACACGTCGCCTGCTCGAGGCTGGTTGGAGTGTCAATATCAGACGAGAGCTGCTCTAGTGGCCTGAACTGATCTATTAGAGCTGCACTGTGGATGCCAGTTTCATGCATATCTGTGACTTAGTCGATGTCGTCGTGCAGCGAATTCTTGATGTGCTAACATTCTAGACTGTGCTAGATGGAGTAAGGACCATTCTAGGTTTGACATTCAGGCAAGTTCCATTATTTCACAGCCTTATAGAACTTCTACACGGGCTTTGTTTCTGGCACCAGATACTATTTCTCTATAAGCTAACCTGCGCCAATATTTCACCCTCACTGTTATGTCTACCATTCATTAACCCTACTGATGCCGCTGTACCTCACCAATATTTCACCCTCACTGTTATGTCTACCATTCATTAACCCTACTGATGCCGCCGGCCGATACATGGCAGTGACATCGGTACGCTAGTTCGATACCCCCCCCCCCCCCTCCCCCACCTTTGTCATCAGTGGTTTCATTAGATTTGACTGTTGTCCATCTGCTATTCCCGGAGTTGAGTGTAGGCGTCATAATGTTCTTTGGTACAACTAAAGGTAGGGAATGTTCATTTCTACCCACCTAGTCATTGACTGGGTGTTTCAATTAGGCCGACTATGCCGTGTTTGTGGATCAACTCAGTGTTCGATTAGCCCCCTTGTTGAACGAGTTGCGCCCTTTAATCGTGTTTCAAGCCACAGCTAGGAAGTTTGAGCACATTCCTGATCTACGAGCTAATGGTGGAAGCGCCGTGAAGTGGTCAAACATACAGACACATCTAAGCGCCAGCAGGAGGTTTGAACACGCACCTCGTGGCTGCAAGGTAAACACAGCCACCGGTATGTCGTTTGTCCACTTCCGTATGGTGACTAAATCCCCGCTGACGACGACGGAGTAGCGACACGTGTAGAAACGTTTGATGTGGGAGAAGATGTATGTAGTTGGATATTTTTGTCTTTGTGATTTCTGAGACTATCATGTGACGAAAGTGATGAACGTGTCGCTTACTTTGTGCTGGATTAAGGCTGCAGTGTTTGCCTGTATTTAGTCAATGACTGTTGCATCATGGGGAGTTGGCTGTGTTTTTGTGTAGACAGTTGTCAGTACCGTCTGTTATGTACTTGGTTCTATTTTTAGTTATGGTGACATTCCATGTGGTAATACTGGGATGGAGGTGAGAGGTGGAAGGGGGGGGGTTGTTTAACAAGATTTTTTATTTCAGTTATTTACAACACAAGGGATGTATCATTTATTACGTTTTATCGGGAACGTTTTGACCTTGTGTATATCCGGCATTACTTCCGTTAAGATCTAGTGCTATAATAAATGTGTTATTAGTGATGTCAGTACTTTTGATATGGCTTTGTGAAGTACTACCAACCAACTAGAAATAGCGCTACCACCACACGAACTGAGCTATTTGACTTTCACAACTGTCCCCACCTCCAGTAACTTTGTAAACAACCTCTCACTTGTAAAAGACAACAGACCCACCCAATCACGTGATGTAGACTCGAGTACAGCCTTGGTCTATAAATACACAGCATCTATTTTTAGTTTGTCTTTACTTATCCTAGGTTATTTCAGTTTTTTTTTTTATAACTAAAGAAGACACGGGCGGGTTAGAACCAGGGGCGAATGTCTGTAAAACCCATAGATTGTTGCACAAATAAAACCAGTTCTGAAATTGATGGGAATGTTCAGGAGCTGCAGGGTGTCGCTGTGTTGGAGCCTTACGGTACCCACTCACGCTGGAGACAATCGCCCGCATTACAATAGTGCGGGCTCAACGTCCAACAACCTGCACACGGTATCCAACAACCTTAGCACCATGTCCAACAACCTTGGCACCATGTCCAACAACCTTGGCACCATGTCCAACAACCTTGGCACCATGTCCAACAACCTTAGCACCATGTCCAGCGACCTTAGCACCATGTCCAGCGACCGTAGCACCATGTCCAGCGACCGTAGCACCATGTCTAGCGACCTTAGCACCATGTCCAGCGACCGTAGCACCATGTCTAGCGACCTTAGCACCTTGCCCAACAACCTTAGCACCATGTCCAACAACCATAGCACCATGTCCAGCGACATTAGCACCATGTCCAACAACCTTAGCACCATTTCCAACAACCTTAGCACCATGTCCAACAACCTTAGCACCATGTCCAACAACACTTGCTAACAGAAAGAGATGTTAGATTAGTCAGGGTAGTTAATGACATGTGTGGCAGTCATCAGGCTAGACGACAGGTTTACTTAGTGCCGTGACTGGGCTGTCAGGGTACTAAGTAAACCGTTTGGGAGTCGCCGTACTAGAACAACAAAGACGGCGTATCTTGCTGGTGAGTCACTAGCTGGTATGTACTCACGAGCCATGGCGGGGCAGACATCTGTAAAACAGCTTTACTGTGTGGGTCTATAGGGTTATCACTGTGTGGGTCTATAGCGTTATCACCGTGTGGGTCTATAGGCTGGCGTTATCACCGTGTGGGTCTATAGGCTGGCGTTATCACTGTGTGGGTCTATGGCGTTATCACTGTGTGGGTCTATAGGCTGGCGTTATCACTGTGTGGGTCTATAGGCTGGCGTTATCACTGTGTGGGTCTATAGGCTGGCGTTATCACTGTGTGGGTCTATGGCGTTATTACTGTGTGGGTCTACTGGATGGTATTATCACTGTAGGCCTGGCTTATATGATGGTGTTTATGAGGTAGTCTATCGACGTCAACTATTGGCCAGTCTGCCCTCATCTTGTATACTGTCTGGTTACCTGACGAGATCAGGGCCATGTCTTTAGTAAGTCGTGCGGGGTCAATGGTCAAACACAATACAGCCTGGACAGTACAGGTCACTCGTATCTGTACACCAATGTTTGCCTCGTCAGACTTGTTTTGTAAAGCTCAAGGCCGTGTAAATGGTGGGTCTTGTAAAGCTCAAGGCTGTGTAAATGGTCGGTCTTGTAAAGCTCAAGGCTGTGTAAATGGTCGGTTTTGTAAAGCTCAAGGCTGTGTAAATGGTCGGTCTTGTAAAGCCCATGGCTGTGTAAATGGTCGGTCTTGTAAAGCTCAAGGCTGTGTAAATGGTCGCTCTTGTAAAGCTCAAGGCTGTGTAAATGGTCGGTTTTGTAAAGCTCAAGGCTGTGTAAATGGTCGGTCTTGTAAAGCCCATGGCTGTGTAAATGGTCGGTCTTGTAAAGCTCAAGGCTGTGTAAATGGTCGGTCTTGTAAAGCTCAAGGCTGTGTAAATGGTCGGTTTTGTAAAGCTCAAGGCTGTGTAAATGGTCGGTCTTGTAAAGCTCAAGGCCGTGTAAATGGTCGGTCTTGTAAAGCTCAAGGCTGTGTAAATGGTCGGTCTTGTAAAGCTCAAGGCTGTGTAAATGGTCGGTCTTGTAAAGCTCAAGGCTGTGTAAATGGTGAGCCTGTAAAACCCCAGAGGTCTTCTCACCACGGGATATATTTAGCTGACATTAAATCTGTTTTTGAAATAGTTTATTTTTATCCTGCCCTGCCCCGCCCCAAAAAGTATCTGCAAATGAGGCAGTGTAAACATATCATTATTAGCTCATTCATTCATGCATGGGGCCATTAGATTGAGAAGATGGATTATTTTTGCACTCCCCAGTTTTTAAACATATCGCTGTCTTGGTTCTGTTCTAAAAATAGTGCTTTTCCTTTCCTCACCTATTTGTAAGCATGTGTATCCGCATAGTAGCGCGCTGTCAGGAATGCTCTCCCCTTCACACCGGGAATTGAAGAGTAAAAAAAAACCTTCGAGAATCCTGTACCTTCCAGATGGTCTTGTCTGTAACTCCACTGTTTTCTTACTTTGAACTGTTCTGGCACCCCCTCCCCTCATATCTTTCACCCTGCGGTCTGACGTCCGGATTTCGTTGAGGTCAGGGTTCCGTGTAAGACGCCGGTACCATGCTCGTGCCCGGCTGGTGTTCCCCGCACATTTCTTGAGTCCACATTCGCACAATGGAGACTCGGCCAGTCATTTACCGTTCGGAGGCGCGACTCTTCCTCGTCCGGGTAACTTTACTCTTCATTATTTCTAGTTTACGTTTCAATCATTATTTTAATAACAGTTCGTTTCTGATGAACGAGCCACGCCATAACACATAATAATTGAACTATTTATAAGTTTATTGTTTAGCCAAGGCTGTTCGAGTAGTTTCCCTTGCACTATAAAAACTCACCAACTTATAAACTGTGGTAAGGATTCAGCATGTTAGTTACCTTCGAGGTAGTTTGTATTTAGACACAGTTGTGTTGGTCAATGAACCCCAGTATAATCTCAGGTCATTGCTGTACATTGTCTAACATGCTTCTGTACTCTAGCTTATCTAGACAGGCAGGTAGATCTAGTGACTAGCCACAGCAGTGACCTCTCTGTCAACAGTCTGGTCACCTTGTCACTGTTGGCCATTTGGATTATTTCTCTATTTGTTGCACACTGAATGGAATACAAGTTGTTTTGTTGACCATGTTTTAAAAAAATGTTGACCATGTAAAAAAAATGTTGACCATGTAAAAAAAATGTTGACCATGTAAAAAAATGTTGACCTTTTTAAAAAAAAAATTTGAGCGTGTGTTTTCCCATGTTCCAGAACTCGGACATGACAGGACCTGATGCATCAGATGGGGTCCAGGTGTGGGTCAAACAGTTGACAGCTCTCACATCCCACAAGGCACCCACAGATGGAGGCAAGATGGTCAGAGATGAGGGTCAGTTCAACTTTTTTAAAGCATAATTCACCTTAATTACAACCCTACCGTTCCATTGTATCTTGGTCTCTAGCTTTTAAAATGATTTTAAAATTGAAAAATTACACTATTGCTGTTTAAGTTTAATTTATATTTACTTTTCATTTGATAAATAGACATTTTCCTACTTATCTGAACATGTCCAAAAGAATTGAGTGAAAAAGGTATCTAACATGTCAATTATGTATATAATATAATTGTCCATCAATTTGTTTGTTGGGCCTAATGTACTGAATGCTCCTTAACTCTTTGAAATTCCTATGATAAAACGTAGCTGTTACATTTCAGGAGACTCCCCAGTATCCAAGAAACCACCTCAGGGTCTCAGTAGAAAAAGACCAGGGACGGGACGTAAACTCCCATCCATCCCCACAGACAAGAGCCCTGAGAGCAGCGAGCACAGCTCATACATGGGGGACCAAGATCTCAGCCTGGGGGAGGAGCTCCAGACCAAGCTCACTGCCCCAGTCACCAATGGGAAACCTACGAGAATCTCTAGTCAGACACGCTCTAGAGGCAAGAATGGAACCAATGGGTATGCTGACGAGCCTGCCGCCAGCCCAAGGGTATCAGCTCGGTCCAGGGGCAGCGTTGATACTGAGCTGCTTCTACAGGACACAGAGACTGTCATGGCTGCCATGGAGGCTAGGATAGGATTTAAGAATAGTCGCAACACTAAAGATTCCCTGAGTACTGAATCAGACACTGATGCCTCCAGCACTGTGGCCCTTGTTAACGGGGATGATGACTATGTCAAACCCACTATTTACAAAAGTCCACGAGATGCTTTGGCCAAAAAACAGCAAAATGACTTATCGTTAAAAAATAACAATGCACATTCAACGCCTCCTTCAGCCCCATCCAAACGACCAGCTGTGAAATCTTACCAGCAAACAGCTGTACGATCTCGAAGCATGGCTTCCCCACGTAGCATCACCACTGTGAGCTCTGCTTCCAAGAAATCTGTGGTATCCGATGTTTTTAGTTCTCGTAGGGACAGTTTTGACAATGACAGTGTCATATCAGATGTCAGCTCTGACACTGGTGACGGCAGCTTGTCTCGATCATCTTCTAAAGGAAAAGGTACCATCACAATGACCAAACCAAACAGGGCTTTCCAGCTTCGGCGTGCACGGGCAGACAGTTTTGACGAGCCGACAACCCCAAGGTCAGCTAAATCCAGCGCTTCAAGTAAATCTGTTGTCAGTGGGTCTTCAGTGCGATCTTCCAGTGTTCACAGTACCCCCAGAACAAGGTCCATGATAGAAACAAATCGCAGTGAGGCTACAAGCCTGGGGCTGCAGATTGTCAGAAAAAGCAGATCCAATAATACACCAGAGAAGGTGATCAAGGCAAGCAGCAACACCAATATAGCCAGAGCTGAGCCAGCTAAATCTAGCCTTAAAATGCAACGTGCTAGCTCCCTGACGATAGGACCTGCAACACCAGTCCTAACAACTGTCAAAAGGGAGCCCACTCCCAAGACACATCTCAGGTCCACACCCACTGGTCATTCTAATTCAAAGGGCAATTTATCCATCACTGGATTCAGTAGCCGCAGTCAGTCCCAGCCTGGTAGCCGGTCCAACTCCCCCAAAGCTGCAGAGAGAATGGCCTGGAAGCGAAGGAAAGAGTATGACCCAAGGAAGGCAGTCGCTGATGCTAAAGCCAAAGTTAAAGAACCAGGAGTGACCATGAGGCCAAAGCCTTCAGCAAACTCCAGCATAAAGAGAAGAATGATCAGATCTGCATCATTCACAGACTCTCACAAACTGTCTCTTAGTCTTCGTGACTCTGTGTCCAGCTCACAAGAGCTCAGCTCTAGTGAAAGACATGAACATGAAGGTTTGCGCAGGGCATTCATTCCATTTCATAATTCGTTACGCTCAGAGAGGTCCCACCACAGTGCAGATGAAGACGAAAGCTTGCTTACTGCTACATCCACGCAGGTGAACATTTTTGTTTTGGGCTCTAGGTGTTGTCTGTCATTTCTGTGTTGTTCTTCTCATTCACCTCTGCTGCTATGTTTTCACCTAGTCTAGTCACTTAAACCTTAAACTGCATTCTTTAACTTTTAAGAGTTCATTTTTTTAAATCTTAAATTTATTTTAAAATTTTTAAATACATTTTATTATAGCAGGTAATGCATTAGCAGTTTAAATTTTTTTTAAATAATTAAAGGTAAAAATAATTAGGCCCTAATGTTTAAAATTTGAAAGTTCTTAAAACTAGTTAAATTATCAAAGATAAAGTATGTGCTTGAATGTCCTGTGTTGTCCACACTGCTTGCCAAGTGTTTTAACATTTGCCATTGTTTGTGTGTGCTTGCTGTGCTGCATGATGCAGAACTCCACCAGAAGCTTGATGTCTCTAAGTGTTGCTAGCAAACCCAAGTCAGCCTTCACCCCACCACTCATCCGTACCAAGGCCATCTCACCAGATGACCCTTCACCCCGCCTGACTGCTTTTAGAAGAAGAACTTCAGGACTGAGTGAGCTAGAAGCAAGTCTATCTGCGTTAGCGCTGCAGTCAAATGGTGATCTGAATGATAGTCGTGTGGAGACACCACCACAGGTCTGAGTACTAGAGTTATGACCAACCCTACTTCACAATTTATATCTTTTTTATATTTAACTAACTAGTTTAACACACTGTAAAATATTTTAAAAAATATATAAACATTTTTACTACCTTTATAACTTTGAAATAAGAATTATTTTTCATTTGTTTCTTAAAAACAAAAACAACTTTAATATGACAAATATATTACTTGTGGTAGTCTTGTTTTTGGTTTAGGTTAACATCAAATAAAATGTTATATTTTGCCTATTCAAATGATTATACACATTTTATTTGTAGTTAAGCATGCTGTGGTTTTAAACTAATATAGAACTAACAGTTTGTTGTGGAAAAAACTTGTTAGATATAGTATGTAATTTGTTGTAACCTAATATTATCTTGTGTAAACTTTGTTAGATGTGATATCTTATTAGTAGTCCTGCCTAACATTCTCTTGTTTAATGTTTACCAGCTTGTCTTCACTTAGTATTGTACATAGCATCATTCTATATTTCTCACACCTCCCCTAAAAACCCTGCATCCACATTTATATTGATATGTGATTTGTTCTTTTAAAATTGTGTGGCTTTAGCGTTTTATAGTGTAAAAACTATTGAATTACAGATCTGAATGCTTAACCTCTTAATCTAAACTAGAACTATTGCAGCTTTAAATGCATCCCCAAATTTAATCAACACCTATAAGGTCACAATACCTTTTTTTTTCAGGCTTCGTACGACTCCCTGATTGTATCATCTATCTATCAGCTTTCCCTTAAAGTGAAAACCACATTAGACAAATCTCTTAATAAATTAAGGTAAGATTTTTATTACCTGATGCCCGTTCAATTATTCTTGTCTAAAAAAATGTCATTCAAGAGACTTTTGTTTTTTGTGTATTGTTATTAACAATATTAACATGCTTTTTAAAAGATTTAAACAAAATGAATATCAGTACCTCAGTAGTCATCTGCATTGGTTATGTATGTAATATTTAACTTACTTCAATCCTTTAAAAATAAATTGTAAAGCCAGCTCAACTTCTGTTTTTTTTAAATTTGAACTTGTAGAGACCAAAATCGTCTGAGGAATACACCGTCTCCAATAGATGATTTTATATCAGACTCCAATAGAAGTGAAATTCCTGCTTGGAAATCAGCCAATCAAGAATTGGCTGGGATATTAAAAAATCTTCGCAAGACTGAGCGCCATGTACAAAGTATGTAGAAATAAAATTATGGACCATAACTTTGTGAACTGGGACAAAAAAACTCAATAGATTAGAATTGACTCATCACTATTTTTTTTTAGAATGGATGGGTTAGCTTAAAAACATTGGATAATCAGCAAGCTCATTATTCTTAGCTTGTATTTGAATTGACAATTGCTCACACTAGTTAATACTATTCACCTATGTCAGAAGATCCAAGATCTTAAAAATTATTCTTTGTATATTCTTATTTATTTTCAGTTATCAATGCATACTTATTTCCTGATGACTCGCCTTCCAAAGTCTCGCAACAGATTCAAAGAATTCAGCATGAATTAGCAGGCTTTCATCCCATTGATCACCCCCAAACTGAAGAAAATGATATAGCTTCACCAGAAATGGCAGAGCTTAGTGGGCAGTTTTAAATTATATTGGCTTAACCTAATTGGCATAATAATAATATTACTTTTTAAAAAAACTGAAACATACAGTTTTAGTGTAGCATAGTCTGTGATTCCCATTAATAATTTTAAGGATTTATTTATTACTATGTTAATTAGAAGTAATTTTAGTTTATATTTAGACATTAGTCATTAATCAATATTTTGAAAAGTAAAAGTAACAAAATTGTTTTGTAATTTGTGGTATTAATGTAAATGTTTGTGTCAAAATAATTTATGAAACAAAATTAAAATGTAACAGCTATGTAGGAACATTGATGTTAATATTTTCTTGCTACTTGAAAAAATGTTTAACTACTTATATTTTTTTCAAAAGATTGTGTTATGGGCTTTCAGCTTTTATTTTTTAAGTTTTAAATTGCAATATTTATTCTGACAACAAGAATGCAGTTGTTATCAATTTAATTTGCATATGTTCAACTGTTTAGAAGCTCAGTTTTGTAAACACTTTTGATTGGTTAAGGACATACATTTTCATCCACGTTAAAACTAACATTAGTTGTCTATTTACTCGCATGAACAAGAAAGTTTGTTACTTGCAGTAAATAAATTGAACGAAGTCTTTATTTTCTGATTGGCTTCAATTAAGGCATTACAAAATAAAAACAACAGTGACTAACACAATTAGTACTTTTTACCTATTAGGTACAGTAATCACTTGCAAGCATACTACTTTCTGTGTAAAGTATTTGCTAATTTTGTAATGAATGGGAATAGAACAATTTTTCTGATGATCTCACTGGACAGATTTGTTCATAATGTGTTAAATGCAATGACAAATTTACCTGACAAACTGAGTGAACATTTGTGTTAGTTGTTAGATTACTGTCAGTTGATCAGGGTTGATGTAATTAAAATAGTCAGCTGCTATGGTAAAGGATGAAGTGGCTAAAATTATAACATAGCTGTGTTAACATAAATTATATCATCAAGACAATTAGAAAGGTGGAACTACTCAAATATAATATTCTACTTACATCTTACAAGCTAGGCTACACATTAAGAAACGACTTATTAAAAAATACACTTAATGTATAGATGTTTTCATCTGTGATTTAGTTTCTTATTATGTTTTTGTTTCAACAATTCTAATAACTCAGCATCTAAACTTTTATATTCCTACTTACAGGAAAATATTTTCTATAAGATAAATCTAAGTACTTTATGTGGGAAATTAATGGATAACTTTTGGGATACAGATTTTAGAGTTCTTGAAGTACTGGTGTATTATTCTTTTACTCTGTTACACAAACTCCTGTGATAATTTCTTCTATGTCTGCAGTAAGACACATTTTTATTCATATTTATGTTGTATCAAGCTAGTACCTTAGCCTTGTGATTGTACTGTCTGTGTGTGTGTAAATGATTTTGACTACTTAGACAAGCTTTCATGGTATGCTAAATAATGATTTGTGTGAAAGGGATTAGAGCAGAAGATTTTGTTTGCTTAAGAATAAACTGAAGTATTATTTGAAGCTTTTTCTGTTAGGTCAATGTGAAAAAATGTGATGTTACTCAGAAAGACTGGAGCTGTTTGATAATAAATAACTGAGGACCAGCTGTGGTATGGGCTACCATTACGTGGGATTTGCCAACTTGATATTTTCAACCATTATTGTCCTATTGATGTTTGTGGAACAATCTGTAGCTTTGTATGAATAATTTAACATTCTCGCCATGGTGCTACAGATCAAAAGTTACTTTGTATTTAAATTCACATCAGCCTTCTTAATGTTTAATAAACTGTTTCATTTTGTGTTGAAAGAATTATGTTGAGCTGAAACTGAAAGCGTTATTGTTTGCTGCAACAAAAAAAAAAAAAAAATCAACAATGAATTCCAAAGGATAGATTCAAACTTTCTGTTGCTGTTAACCTTGTCAGCTAGAAAAATGCAATATCAGCTTTCTAATAAGCATAATCATTTTATTGCTATAATTTTAATAAATTGCATATACTAATTAATTTTTTGTCAGTGTTTTTTCTTTTGTGTGTATAGCCTGAAATTAAAAGAAATTTCTGAAATGGTAAAATAAATTATATATATATCTATATCTATCTATCTATCTATCTATCTATCTATATATCTATCTATCTATCTATCTATCTATCTATCTATCTATCTATCTATCTATCTATCTATCTATCTATATATATATATATATATATATATATAATGTGTGAGTGTGTTTGTGTATTGTTTCTATATTTTATAAAACCCCACACCATCAAATGGAGTAACTAATTTTATTCTGTGACATTGTTTATGATAAATTGATTCAAACAGTTGGGATGAGCAGCCCTATAAAACATAATTTTAAGGAAATTTCTGGTGTGGTTGCCCCTGCAGACAAAACAGCATCTAGTCTACAGATCCATGGAAGATTGCCTTCATGTTCTCTGTAAACAACCAAATAACTGATAGTTATTAGTTGGTCAAATGTTTTATCACATTAAAGGAAAACACTAAAAAAAACCACCAAAAAACCCACCCCAAAATGATTTTTTTAAAACCAATAATACATTTCCATGAAAATTTCTTTACATATTTAGGCCTAACCTACCCATATAAATGGTCTGTTGGGATATGGTGTGATTAAAAAAGATCAGGGTGGGGTGGTGTGCGGAAGACTAAATGTGGGTCAGCTACTCAAGATAAGATTATTAGTATAAGCTTGTGCACCATTTAATCACATGGCCTCTGTAAATATTTCCTTCAAAAACTTATCAATAGTGAGAATAAGGAAGAACAGCAGTAAGAGGGGTCCTTGTTATCCTACAAAAGTAAATTCTACTCCTGGCAAGCTTTTTTCTTTATGTCAAAATGTCTGTCTGCATGTGCAGTTTCTTTCAGGCATCTCTGCAGAGGGGGAACGGGAAAGACAGTGACCTGAAATTTTAAGTGCACACTCCAAAAAGTTTCAACCCTCTCCCCACCCCCAGGAGCTGAATAAACACTGGGGGGGGGGGGGGGGGGGGTAGGTAGACAAATTTTGTAAATCGATTTGAATTATGAACTTTCAAACTGTCCAGATAAATTATAATTTTCCATCGAGTTAGGTATTAAATTAGGTATCAATAATTGAAATCAGGATCTAACTTCTAGCTATAGATCTATCTATATATATAATTCTCTTCTTGGAGACGCTAGAAAACAAGATGTAAGCGCGCTCCCTACCAACCCACCCATAAATGGTCTGGTGAGCTGTGGTTCACGCTAAATGTTTACATACGTAGAGCCGGGTTTAGTGACGGCTATTAGGGGCAGATAATTTAGTGTGAAACTATTTTAAACTTAGGGGAGGTAACTAAGAGGAGGCTGCTTTCACTGGGGGGGGGGGGGGTAGGGTAGGGGGAAAGGAGGGTAGTATCGTCCTTAACGACATACTGATAGTGTTTTAAAGCAAAGATTTTCAGTGGCAGCATTAGTACTGTCGAATTCACAAATTATGAATAACTGAAAAGTAGAAAATAAAACAACTAAATCGCGGCGTATGATAATGCCGCGGGACTTTTTTCTCCGGAGGGGGGGGGGGGGGCATTTGAAATTTTCGGTAGACTTTCTTCGGGGGGGGGGACACTGTTAAAAGTATATATTTTCTATATAAATTTCATTTCGTTCGGGGGTGTGGTAGACTTTCTTCGGAGAGATGCCTGGAAGAAACTCTGTTATTATGTAATTATTAATTATGTAGAATACATTTTTTCTAAACTAGTAGACCTAGTGGCTCTTAGTAAACTTCCGGTTTCGCTTTTTGTTCCCGCGATATTTTATCATAGATATCGATCACTTGTTTATTAAACCTAGAAAATAAAATCTACATCTAGAGTCTAGATCTAGTAGAATTTAATCCAGATCTAGATATCTAGAATAGATCCAGATCGAGTAGGACTCTTATGATCAATCTAAACTAAAATTTATTACGTGAAAAATCTAATTTAGCTGGTGTGTGGTGTACTGACTGGTACTGGTAGTCGTACCGGACGGGTAGTGAGTGTGAGTGTATAAAAAAATATTGTGACAAGTGACTCAAGTGTGTACTGTGTGTGTAGTGTAGTTTAGTGGATTGTACTAGCTTAATATTACTTAATAAGAACTTAAGTCTAGAGTCTAGTCAACTCTAGTAATTGAGTGACATCTAGATCTAGAAATCTAGTCTGATTTAATCAAGTTTACCCAAATAATAAGCCCACAGTTAAATTTGATCTAATCTAGATCTAGAATAATCTAGATTCTAGATAGAGATTTTTACTGTCTAAAATTCTAAATCCAGTAAACTTGATTAAATCAGTCTCGATTATTTCATCATTAATCATTATTGTTGACATGGATAAAAACATGTTTTTTGGTAGATTTCGCTACCAAAAAGCGACCAAAAAAATAAAAACTTCAGCCAAAAAATAATTCAGAAATTAAAAAACTTTCGGTTCTCAAAACTTTGCACATAATGTTAGACTGATAGATCTAGATCTACAATTTTTAAAGTTTAGCCATTTTTGTTTTCAATTTCTGTGATAAATGTAAACATTAATAAACAATTAAATTGTATTTGGCTTTAAAAATTTTTTTTTGCTTGGTTACCAAAAATACTAAAAACATCAATTAGGCCTACATCCAATCTTTAGTAAAGTCCAACAAAAATCAAACAGTCGGCTCAGTCAGATTTTTATAACCTTATTTATTATTTATTTTAATACATCGTACACTATTTTAAAAATGGGCCATTTGAATTATTTTGAGGCTATTCTCGGTTGTGTCCATTAGGCTCTATGAGTAGTCTATAGTCACACTAAATATTATTATAATAATAGTCTACTCTAGGATTATACTACAACAATGCCCAAAAGAAACAACCCATTTGGTGATCACTCAAGTCTTCAACTAAAAACACATGTTGGGGAAAAAGAAGTTGATAAAGGAGTTGCAATGCAAACAAGAATGCAATCTGTCTATGGTGAGTTTAGAACCAAACAAATCCACATTGAGATGTAACTTGAGAGTCGTTAGTCGTAGGACTAGTCTTGAGTCTAGTATTATTAGAACTTTAAAGTAGGCCTACTTGAATGTAAATGTAACAGTATCTACTAAAAATATGAGCTTAAAAATAAATAACTCAATGATAGGAGGCCTAATGATTCTAGGCTGTCCTATATATAAATCTAGGGGCAGACCAAGTAATAAATCATATTACTCATTTGGGGTTATGCAGATAATGTGTGATAAGAGGGGTTGTTAAGAAATCATGACATCACACTTTAGCTTTAAATAAAGCAACTGAACTTTGGTTGTTATTTTGCATTTAATTAAAAACTACTTTTCTCTATATTAATATAAAATTTATCATAGTAGGTCTACATGTGTGTACCAGTACCAGTGTTTCTTCCAAACTTTTTTCTCCAGGGGGGGGGGGACGACGACACACACTTAAAAGTATATATATATTCTATATAAATTATATAAATTTCATTTCGAAGAGATGCCTGGAAGAAACTCTGGTGTGTACATTAACTTGACCCAGCTCAATACTAATGGGGTGTTAGGATGGGCCTAATCATTGTTTACATCACCCAAATTGTATTTTATATATTTTGTCTTCTGAATTGCCTTTAATTAAGAAGTAAAAAAAATGTAAAACTAAGCTGAAAACAAAAGAAAGTTAAAATTTTGAGAATTAGGCCTATTTTTTTGTTGTTGTTCTTGCCATATCCTTTCTAGTACCTTTTGAAATTTCAAGAAATTTATCTTTTTCTTCTTCATAATACTGGAAAACTCCCATTTTTTTTATTATTAATGTAGAATTTTAAAAAAAAATTCATTTATACAACAATATGAAAATTACACATTGTAAAAGATTCTAAATAAATTAACTAAACAAATTAACTAGGGTGGTTTATTATTGTTATTTTTATTAACAATTTTAAGATGTAAGGGTTTATTTTTTCTCATATTTTCTGTTTTTTTTTAATGATGGGATGAATCAATGTACACCACTTGTTTACATTATTTTTCCTTTTAACTCAGTATATAGGCCTAAGCTTAGGCAATTATTTGTAATGAAGATGGAAGAAAGAAGTGATTTGATATAAAAAAAAATAATTTTCGTGTTTCGCAGTAAGAGTGTCATCATTTTTAAGGGAGTTGGGTGTTATTAGAAGTGTTACAATTTGAGACTGGATAACAAACTTATTTTGTAAATAATTTGCACACAATCATTAAATGTTTACACTGCTAATATAAGGTCAGGGATATTTTATGCTCATTCAATATTTTCTTTAGTGCTTTCTAAGTGCCTAGGGTTAGCTCATTTTTCGTTATAATATTAAATAGAACACTGGCTTGTTTTGTTGTCTGCTTTGGCTTGCAGTTTTTTTTTTATGCAAATTAATTTAGAAATATAAAAAACTAGGAAGATTTACATAATAATACATGGGCCAAAATTTGCCATTTTTTTAAGGTTCACTGGTAGGCCCTATTACACTGCAACTTTAAAAATAAAAATAAAACTCATGACAGAAATTCTGAGAAATTTGGATTCATGCTATGTGCTGTATGAGATTTAAATAGATAAATTAGAATTCTTGTTATGTTTAACATGGATCCACACATCTTAAAAATGATAAAGTGCTTAATAGGAGAACAAGTGTTAGGAAGCTAGGAACTTTTTTTTTAAAAATTGCTAAGGCCTAGCTGTAAGCATAAATATACATATGTAAAGCAAATAGTTTTTAGAACTAAGATAAATATTTTTACACATTCGCTCATATGCCTCAGCTGAGATTGTTGATGATCATTAATCTTCAAAGAAATGGCTTAAAAAAAAAAGATGAAAAATAATATCAGAAATCAGTCACATCATTCTTATAATTTAAAATCACATAAGTCCAGTTATTTATTATAATTTTGCTTTCTATTTCTAGAATGTAATAACGTAATTTACTTGACTGTTTTTTTATATGAATAGTTTGTCTATTCATTTCAAAACATTTTATATGCCTTTACAGAGAGAACACATGCTCTTTTATTCAGTGGGATGAGACAAATGCATGAAGTGAGAGTTGAGTTAGATGGCAATGACAATGAGATGTGCATTGATGAACAAAATAAATTTGACAGCTCAGCATTACATAAACAGTTATATTTAAACAAAAACTGTAAGTTGGTCCCAGCTGAGGATGATCCTATGGAGACTGACATAAAACCTTCACATCAGGTTTCATTGGTTTCTAAAGACATAACACCAGAATCTACTGGTCTAAACAATCAACATAGTTGCCATGGTTTTTCATTACCAACTGAAAGTGGTGGCAGAGAATATGTTGGCCATCCAACCAAAGTTGTCTCCTCCTCAAACAAGATACCATGTTCTGAAGCTGCACCTCTGTCTGCCAATGCTGGTTCTAATGTATTTAAGCACATGAGACTTGCTCAGTTGAAACTTCTCTCACTTGAAAAATCTGAAGCATTGGCTAGAGGTGAGATACTTTCCCCTAAGTTTAAAACTACTAAAAAAATCTTTTTGTCTAAACATGAAGCAACACTTTGTCTTTGTATAATAACTGTACTATATTTTAGTAGGATATAGATCTAGCTGTTATATGCTAATCTTGTATTGTGAGCTAATAAAAATATAAATACTATTTTTATGTAATACTTATTTTACTATATCTAGCCTAAATGCTTTTATAATAGCTAACCTTCATTATATATTTCTAACTTCTAAAATTAACTTTAGAAAAGAACATGATTAATTGAAAGTTAGCAGATGCTTTAAATCATAAATATAATTTCCAAGCCTTAGGTAATTCATTAATGACGTCACTCTTTTTTGACGATTTTTACCTCCTCCCCCCTCCCCTCTGTCACACATCGTCACAAAAAGCCAGACACCCCCCCCCCCCTCAAATGACGCCTACAACCTCCCTCAAAATTGCAGTTGAATTTTTTAAAAACTTCTATATTTTTTCCAAAATCTTGTTTGAACTCTGTCAAAATAGAGTATTTTAATCAATTACTATTACAATTTATTAAAACAGTTTTTTTAAACGCTAAATAAAGTCTAAAATTTGTTTTCTAACATTGCTTTTTTATAATGCAAAAGTGTGACGTCGCACCATCTGACCCCCCCCCCCCCCTCATCACACACCGTCACAAAATTACGGACCCCCCTCCACCCCCTACGAGTGTGACTTCATTTATGGACGACCCTTTACTCTGTTAGTATAGTCTTTAAAATCTTTTCATTCAAATTTGTCATTTTTCTTATCATGTAACTTGTTAATATTTGACTTTCACAATTTTACTGTAATTCCATATAACACATCTTATAATAATTGTATACCATAAATATTTTCAATTAGTTTTATGCATTTTGTCTGTGACAAAATGAGATTAAAATTTTGGTAATTGAAAATATTTATTATTATGATCTTTTTATATTTTTATAGCCTGTCACAATTGTCGAAAGCCAGTCCAGACCAGAGATGTGATAAAATGTCAGTTTTGTGAAGGATATGTTTGCTGCCAATGTGTGCGCCAGTGCAGGCATTGTCACTTACATTTTTGTCAACTTTGCTCTGTTTTAAAGTAATAGAAGTTTTATTTTCTAATAAATTATTCTAGCTTTTTTCCTAGTATATATTCCTAATATATTTTCCAATATTATAAATTATTTTGATTGATTTACTTGAAATTCCATGACGCTTAATTATTTTATTAAGATCCTGCATTGATTTTCTATACTATAAAAAGTATTGGTTATTAGAATAAGTCTTTGTTGTAACGTCAGCTAATTTTTTTCCTTAATTTTTTTAAATTACAGCTATGACCAGTCTACAGTGAGAGCTTTTTGTCTCAGTTGTAATGATGAAGAAAAAAGTAATGCACTCTTATCTACATAGGAAAAATGCTATTGGCCTGCATTTGAAAATTTCAGCATTTTCTTCTAGGCATAAGTAATCTTTGATAACTTTTATCTATGTTTGGTCAGTTAAGATATTGAGTTGCATTTATATTCTTTTCTGCACTTGTTAATGTTTTGCTACATGCCAACTTAAGTATATCGAGGGATCTAAAAATGTAGTCTATTTTTGTGGCTTTTAAACTTTAAAAAAATTTACACTATAGGAAAAAATGTATCGGCAGAAGTATACAGTACATTAAATACTCACTGTAACTGTAAGCCAATCAAAGTTACTTATACCCTATTCTTTTGGTTTTCCATTGAAACATTTCTGTCTAAAACTTGTATATTTAAATACCAATTTGATTGCAAAAATAATTTAATTTTACTTGGATGCGATGGTAAATATCATGACTACGTTAGCAAGAGCTTCTGTATATTGAACTGGATTTCATTCATGGGGTTTGAATATTTTTTATCTGATTTTTATCTTTTTGCTTAATTTTGTAGGCAGCAGTGTAAATATTTTAATACTTGTTTAGTTTGACTCTAATTTTGAACATATTTTTTATTTTCATTTTACATAATTTATGTTTTACATTTTTTTTTTTGAAAAAATTTAAAATATTGTTTATTATCTGCACATCTTCAAATAATATGCCTATTCAATAAACATGTTTACTTTGGCTGAACAATTGATATACTGCAGTTAGTTATACAAAGTAATCTTTTTTGCTTGCTCAGTAATAGTTTTAAAAATTTATTTACTGTGCTAATCAAACATTTAAGATATTTATGTTGTGATATTTTTCATACAGTTTATGAATAAACTTAAAAAGTCTTTGATGGTTTTCTGTTTATTTAAAAAATACCTTTAAAAATAGTTATTTGTTGTTTATTTCAAATCCTGAAAACGTGTAATTTTAAAAATTGCAACAAAAAGAAAAGTTCCTGTAAAGTGTAAGTATCAATTTTGGCCTGGCACTGAACAGAGCTAATTGCTTTGGCCATTGCGTATGTGTGAGTAATGTTGCCGGTATTGTGCTCAGCTACTGATCAGATATAGGAGGACTAGAGGATATATTACAGATTTAAACTTCAAATTTGTTTTGACACTTAACCTAATGCAGACACTACATCTAAGTTAATTTCAGGATGGAATCACATCTAATAATCCTTAACTATGACATACAACAATGCTAATTGCATCTATCAATATAGAGGTTATTCACAAATGAAGTCACACTTTTTTAGACAATTTTACCTTCCCACCACCACTTATCACAAATATCTATCTCTCATCAATTTATCTTTTCTTTTGTCTGTCTATGCTTAAATATATACACCTATATATATATATATATATATATATATGCCCTATGTATAGGCCTATATATATGTATATATATATATATATATATATATATATATATATATATATATATATATATATATATATATATATATATATATAAATGCGTTCGACGTAATAAGTGATATGGGAAGCCCTTAAAACTCAGCATGGGCAGAATTGGGACACCCCTAGCCTAAATGCTACATTATGACACTGTGTTTTCCGTATTTCTCATTTCCAACTAGACTAGTCATTCGACTCATTAGTAAAGCACTGTGGTTAAGGTATGATTCATCCCGATTCTCGATGGTCGCTTCAAATCTTACATTTCATTGCTCTATATTAAAATTATATGTATTAAAATATTTTTATTAATAAAATTGCTTTTATCATTAGTTTCATTTTTCAATGTAGATCTATCACTAACAAGTTTAGGCAAATTATTATTCAATTATTAATTAAACTAGGTTGGGCGGAGATGCACATTTTGCGACAACGAGAAATTGTTGACATTCCTTAGCCCTATTTACGGCACTGTCATAGTTGAAAGATGACAACAACACGGATGGCTGCACCTTCATACACATTGCTGTACCAATGCTCTTAGGGAATTCAATTGGATCTAGATTTAGATGAACCAGGTACATCAATTTCGACGGTAGAACTGCATTACTACAACTGTCACCAATAACGGTATGTATGTTATAAACAAGTTATCTAACTAATCTAGATCTAGGTAATCTAACTTAAAATTAAATCTAATCTAGAGTAGAGTTGACTGACGTTCATTCTTGATGAATTTAGTTCTTTTTTTTTCACTTAGGCTAGAATCTAGAATAGACACCAGCGAGAAAAGTCTCAAAGGTATTTGAGAGGTCCATAAATTAATTTAAAAATCATGCACAGCGTAGTTACAATTAATATTAATATGGTTATAAAATCCTGCCTGTCTAGTTTTTTTCGGACTTTACTAAAGATTGGATGTAGGGCTGTAGGCTATCTGATGTTTTTAATATTTTCGGTAACTAAAAAAAAAAAAGCAAAAACAATTTGGTTTTCCCGTGTAATTAGCTAGGCCAATGCAAAAATTTAATTTCAGTAAAACAATATAATAGTTACATATTTAGATAGGGGCTGTCAATCTGATTACAGATCAGTTTGAATTTTCAAAATCTGACCATAAACAAAAAAGTTATGAATTTTTTAGTCATTAAAAAACAGCAGTTTTTTCAGACAACCGGGGTAGACCCTGAAAGAGGAAAAATACTGGGAGGGTATGGACCAAATTTTTAAGAGTTTTTCACTAAAAGTGGTATAAAAGTAAGCAGACTTCACCAATTGATGTCATTTTATGATATTTTGTAGATTTTTGTATGCCGAATCCAATGATGCTATTTTAAAAAGTGTCTTTTGATTACATAACAGACTTATTTCATGGATTATGTAATACCCCCCTTCAATTTTTTTTACAACATCTGATAATCCGTGTGATAAGAAGTCTTTCTTTAAATTAAACACTGTTTTAAACCATAATATGACATTTGTATATGCTGAAGCTAATGGTGATATTTAAAATGGTCGAACATTATTACAAAACTATAAAGGTCAGGTTATGTAATTCGCACCTTTTGCTCATAATTTACCATGTATTTATTTTAAAATCTCTTTTGCTCATTGTCAGCTAACTTAAGTGAATAGCCTACTTAAAGAAAAGATAACTAATACAGTTTTAATACAAAGAGAAGGATGCTATAACAACAGTATATTTGTGATGATGTAACTTCTTAAAATATGTTATGTAATCTATGTGCAATCCTACAGGCCTACTCTATTCCAAAAATATAGGCATTATTATATTTATATTTCTTGTTACTTTAAATGTCATACCATTGATACAACTTTCTTCTATAGAATTAGCCTTGTTACAAATGTGTCTTATCAGAATCAGTGTGCTTTAAGACAATTTTGTAATATTTTTAAACGCAAAAAAATTGCTCATTTTTACAAATTTAATAACATAAACATTGGAGGAAAATTGTTTTTTTTTTTTAGCTTGTACAAGGTAGTGTAAGTTATAGGTCTATAACATAGATTTATATATGCCCAATGTTTATGCTAGTAGTAAGCTTGTGTATTTTGGGGAAAAAAGCACGTGTTTGAGTGCTTGACTGTGTGTAGTAGATGCTAGGCATTTTTTAAAGTTTCCCGTGTCTGCCTAAACACGGAGGCGTTTATCGCCATCAGCATTTGCCTAGATTTAGTTCAATCAGACGTGGTTAACCAGGTTTTCTGACCAACGAATTTTATTGCCGTATTACGTAAACACGAGGCAAGATAGGCTAGTCGGCCAACCCGATGAACGTGTCAGACGAATATTATGTAATTTTAGAGACAAAAGTCTGGGAAGATTTCCTGATCTATGCCCGAGGGTTAGTAACATCAACTCCACAAAGTGAAGGGGGAGGGAGGTGGGGTATGAAACCACAGCGAGCCGCTCGGGTACCGTGCGGGTGTTATACAACATCAAAGGCGCCGACCCTCGGCTTGTCGCGTCACGGAGTAGTGGGGGCGGGGTGAGGCTATGGATGTTACATACGGTGTTACAATAGTTACATACCGTGTAGGATGGTCAGTGACTCCCCATACCCACCCCATCCCATTTTGGTCGATTTGGCAAGCTAGTAACCTCCACGTTGTTAAGGGTTTTAAAATTTTTTAGTCAACCGAAAAAAAGAGCCCGGGGTAAAATTTAATTTATTTTTTAAAGCCATTTTTACGAAAAAGTAATGTACACAATAATGAAACGTTACGGCACGCGAATCACGTCAGCATTGTTTGGTCGGGTCGCAGCTATCCGGATTAATTTCTAAAGAAGATTAATTTTGACGATTAGTAAATACTATTACGACTTTTTTTTTTTGCCGTTTCAATGGTTTAAAACAAAGTTATGAAACATGCCTGTCTACTTAAATATAAAATAGCAATACCCGACGAGTCAAACACGGGAACACACGTATCTATCTTTAGAAATTGTTTATAGTCTCATCCAATCGGATCAACCGCCTAGCGTCACGTGACCACACACTCGGCTGTGCTACACGATGTGTAGATCACGATTCAGTCGGACGGCGGTCGACGCGTTAATTTTTATTTTCGTTCCGTCTTAAAATGTATGGACGGCTTTATTATGAGGTGTTACAATACACGTCATACATTAAAATAATCGGCGGGATTTCAGGAATACGGCTCAAGGTTCAAAAGTAAAATAGGCCAAATAATAGACCGGGAAACTTAGTTCAACTTTGCGGTCCGATATCTCCCGAAGTATTTAACTTATTTTGACCACGAACCTTGAGCGTTGTACGTCTACATTTAATCTGTTCGTCTGCCAAATTTGATTGTTGTAGTACGTAAACTCGATAAGTCTATAAAAAAAAACTGTAGCGCGTCATATTTAAAACAGCGATTCGAAGCACAGCCGAGCGGTTCAGTCGGACAGCGGTCGGCGCGTCATGTTTTGATTTTCGGTCCACTTCAAAGTCTATAGACGTCCTTATTATAGGGCCAAATATGACAAATCATACATATTAATAAACGTCGAGATTTCAGGAATACAGCTCAAGGTTCAAATTAAAAATCGGTTCATTAATAGCCCAAATAACTTAGTTCAACTTTGCCGTTCGATATCTCCAAAAGTATTTAACATATTTTCCCCAAGAACCTTGAGCGTTATACGTGAACATTTAATCTATTCTTCTACCAAGTTTCACTGTTGTAGTACGAAAACTCAAAGAGTCTATAGACTCTAAGTAACACCCCTCTTTTAAAAAGGTGAAAAAGCCTCCCCCTAATCGGCACGTCGCCGCGGGGGGTAAAAAATGCGATTAAATCGGCGATTTCTTCAACGTCTGAAATAATAAAGAAATCAAACTAATACAGTTTAAAAGGTTGTTCAATTACGAACAGAATGATGTATAACATGTTAATATAAACAAAATAAAAGCATGCAAAAAACAGAGTTAAACATGCAGGGGGTAGGGAAAAGCCGATTTGTCCGATTTTCTCGGCAGCGGCATTGGCCTAGCTAGTGTAATGGCGACATAAACAATGGCATCCTGCTATTCGATAGGCTGCCATAAATAAACTAGGTCATGTTGTTTAAATTTGCATTGTTATTTAAAAACTTGATCTGCAAAGTTTTGTTAACAAAAAAAACTATAAAGTGGGGCTGTCAGAAATCGATCACGGAGTTCCTGTACAGCCAATCAATGTTTGTCTTACGAAAGTGAAACATCGGGTTATAACTTAGGCTTGATGAAAATAAATAGAAATGTAGCCTTAAACTCAACAAATTATTTTCAAGTTCTCTAAATCTGCAACTTGTATAGCATTGATTCTAAAAATATTAAATTTCTGAATTAATTTTAGGCTTAAGTTTTTAATAAAATTTTATCTTTTATTATTTTTACGGTCCAAAATCTAAAAAATCACATTTGTATTCCATGTCAACAACATTACGGAAGGATTTTCGTCAACTCACTGGTGTCCATTTACTGGAGTGGGAGTCTGGACTGTGGAGCTAGCAACTCGTTTGTTGAAGTTTAATAACAATTACGAAATTTAAATTACATTAACAAAAAGCAATGTCAATAAACTCAATAAACAATAACTACTAAACTAGGCCTATAGCCTAACCCTAAGGCCTAAACTTAAAAAAAAACTATTTCTATTTTGAAATTTTGTAACATTAGGCACTTAGGGGCTGAAGTAATTGAGGCAATAAAGTCCCATAGGTATTCGAGGGGCCCATTAAATATTTTTAAAATCATGCACTGCATAGTAAAAAATAATATGGTTATAAAATCCTGTCTGTTTTTTTTTCTGACTCTACTAAAAGATTGGATGTATTTGATGTTTTTAATATTTTCAGTAACTAAATAAAAATAAAAAAAGCAAAAGCAATTTGATTTTCACATGTATTGGCGGACATAAACAATGGCATCCTGCTATTTGATAGTCTACCATAAATTTTATTGTATAGGCCTACATTGTAAGCGAAAAAAAAGAAAAACTAGGTCATGGGGTTTAAATTTGCATTGTTATTTAAAAACTTTATCTGCAAAGTTTTGTAAACAGTTATCAATCACAGGGTTCTTGTACAGCCAATCAATATTTGTCTTATGAATGTGAAACATCTGGTTATAACTTAGGCTCGATAAAAATAAATAGAAATGTAGCCTTAAACTCAACAAATTATTTTTCAAGTTCTCTGGATTTGCAACTTTTATAGCATTGATTCTAAAAATATTAAATTACTGAATTGATTTTAGGCTTAAGTTTATATTTTTTTATTATTTTCACGGTCGTTTTGATTGCAAAACTTTAAAAAAATCACGTTTTTAATCCATGTCAACAATATGATGGAAGGATTCTCGTCATTTCGGTCACCTCCATTCTGGGTAATCTATCGTTTTAGGTGTGTAAAATGGGCCGCCGCTAGTAATGTAAAAAAATTTGCCTCCTTGTGAAGGCTTTCATAGAAATATATTGTGATACGAGCCGACCCGCGGTGTATCATACGCCGCTAATTAGTTGTTGTTTTTTCTACTTTTCAGTAATTCATAATTTGTGAATTCGACAGTACCAATGCTGCCACTGAAAATATTTGCTTTAAAACACTAAACCCCCCCTTCCCCCCCCCCCCCCCCCCCCGTGAAAACAGCCTCCTCTTAGTTACCTCTAAGTTTAAAATCGTTTCAAACTAAATTATCTGCCCCTAATAGCTGTCACCAAACGGCTGTATGATTGTATTATGTAAACATTTACGTGAACACAGCTCACCATACAATGTGATGGTGGGCGGGGGGGGGGGGGGGGTTAGGGGGAGGGGGTAGCGATAGAGAGGAAGAGAGGGGATTGCAAGGCGCGCTTGCAGCTTGTTTTCTAACGGCTCCCAGAAGAGAATTATATATATAGATATTTGTGTCAAATATTTCAATAGCTGAATAATAAACCAAAATCAATGGCTAAATATATCAATATAGGCCAGAAATTAACTTTAAACTGCAGTATTTGCTAAGATTTGCTATATAAACAGCAGCCATCTGTAAAAAAGAGTGGCTTCCCCTGAATCTCCCACTATAATTTTACCAAAAAAAAAAACTTAAACAAGATGGCTACTAAAGTAAATGAGCTTGGTTGCATCTGATGAAACATCGATAGTATTTATTTTTTTGAGGAAAAGTTTTAAATACAATTGTTTAAAAACAGGTACATAAATGAAACTTCGAAACATTTTTGTAAATTTTAAAACATAAATCCTCCTAAAAATGTGAAATGATTACTAAAATTTAAAGAGTCACCTTTTTTCACATTACTAGTCTCGACCAATTTTACGTACTTATAGATAACCTAATTCTGAATTAATTCAACTACTCATACAACATACTGACTGTGTATTATAAAGTTTAAAGTATTATATTGCTGACTGGGGAGTGAGGTATAGAATAAAAAAGCAGTGCAATTTTTATTGTGTTATATTTTTATAAAAAAAATTATTGTGGTTTCAGTTTAGTTTAGAGTTAAGTCTTTTGGTTCATAACTGCAAAGTAGATGATCAGTTATATACCCAAAAATTATCTATACTAGTCAATCAGGGCTTAATAGTAATTTTTAAATTAATAATATTAATTATGTATCACTTTAGTAAGTAGTTCACATTGCATTTTAGATGTCAATTACCATTTTAAAATTCACAGAATAAATATCAGGTGAAATAGCATGTCCATTTAAATCAGTTATTGTACATATTTTCCATCGCAATTTTCCCAAGTTTTTTTTTTTATGCAAAATATTTTTTTTGTGCAAATATGTCTGCAGTCACCTCACAAACATTAAAACAAATAGCAAAAGTAACTCTTTCATGAAAAACTGCAAAAAATTAAATTTGGACAACACAATAAATGTCAAATGTATAAAAACAGTTGTGGGTTTTGAATCCACAACAATCAGGCATGGCAAACATGCACATATCCAATCGACCACACAGCCTCATACTTTATTGGGTATTTTTAATATTAAATGTATGAAATCATTTACGACTGTGAATAGCCTAATATGGCTATTAACAGTGACACTGCTAAATAAACTGGGAGTAATCTCCCCTATGCTTTCTCGAATATTGTTATATAACACTACGGGAATAGTAATTCGGGAAATAGTCATGATTTTTAATCCATTTTTAATTGCCTTAAACTTTTAAAATAGAATAGAATCTTGTAGATAAATGGATTGCACACCAAGTGAATGTCAAACGATATGTGTATAATAGTGCGGAATACTAGTACTTTATAAATTCAGATGCTCAAAAGCCAGCTTTAAAGGAAAAAAAAGACGAATTACAATTTACTCGTAATTTTAAAAGTTCTATTTTCATCCTGCTGACATCATTGTTACAATTATTGTTCTTTTTCATGTTATATCAACTTTTAGCCCAATTTAGTGTTATTCTGTATACATTAGTATGCAAGCTTCTATTTTTATAAAATATAAGTACATGTTGCTGAGAAAACAGTAAATAAACAAAAATATACAAGAAAAACAATTACTGATGCCCTCAGTAAAACCTGTGTAGTTTTTACATATAAACTCAAACCAAAATAATTTTTTTCAGCAATTTGCAAAGAATAAACATAAATTTACAATATGCCTTTCAAGTGGCGGTTGAAGAAAACAAGGAAATATGATATATCGACAAAAAATTCTTTTATTGTTGGAGTTTATCTTTTGGATAATGCTTATTTGGAGTGTACCTTAAATGCTGACAGCACTGGTCAAGAGTGCTTGAATAGTATTGCTCAGAGAGTTGAACTTGTTGAGGTAAGACATTGACAAATTTTATTTCTGGAAAATTAAAGTTAGTAAATTAAGTAGTGCTTCTGGGTATATTTTTTTTCCATATTTCATTCACATTTTACTAATTATTATATTAAATAATGCCCATTTTACACATATATAAAATTATATAAAATTAGAACTTTTTATAATATTTATAATATGTTTAAGATTCTGTTGTAAATTACCCAATATATTTTCTTATTTTTCATAGAGCCACTACTTTGGGCTTCGATATGTTACAAAGAAGCTTCATTTTCATTGGGTAGATTTAGAGAAGCCATTGAAAAAACAGCTGGATAAATATGCTCAGCCAGCTAGTCACTCCCACTGCCTGTATTTTGGTGTGATGTTTTATATTATTGGCGCTCACAAAATTCCAGATGAGGTGGCAAGGTGGGTAAAAAAATCAAAAGGCGCTAATTTCATTTGTTAGTTATAAGATTTTTACAGTCTCGAGAGCTAAAAAAAAGTTTCTGCCTGTGTAGTTTGTGGGTGAAGTGTCATGTCAGCCAAAAAGGAATAAAAAATAGTATTTATTAGTTGCAATTGTTACATAAGCATATCTTTTAGTTTGGTTATTATACCAATAGCATTTCTGTGAAGAAATCACTTTGAATGTTTTAGGTATCACTACTACCTTCAGTTCACTTTGAATGTTTTAGGTATCACTACTACCTTCAGTTCACTTTGAATGTTTTAGGTATCACTACTACCTTCAGTTCACTTTGAATGTTTTAGGTATCACTACTACCTTCAGTTCACTATGAATGTTTTAGGTATCACTACTACCTTCAGCTGAAGAATGATGTCATTGATGGGAGGCTACCCTGCTCATCAGAGCAAGCTATCAGACTGGCAGCATACAGTTTACAAGGTTTGTTTTAAGGGTTTAAAGAAAAAGTAAATTATTTCTATTATTAACTTAGTACATTTTAATTTTCAGTTTGTGATGTGAATGCAAGGAAATATTTGTTTATTGTTGGAAATTTTTTTTTTTAAAGCGGAGTTTGGAGACTATGAACCTGACAAATATTCTGTTCAAGACTACTTGTTGTTTCCTAAGGTAATTTTCTGTTGTTTTTTTTTATTTAAGTTACTTTTCACAATAGAATAGTCAGTTTTATTTATCCAGAATGAGGAAGGGTATTTCCAATGTTTCTCATTACTTTGAACCCATATTTTTACAGACCATGATGAAGGATGAAGCAGTGGCTGCAGAGTTGCTGTCAGAAGCTATAGCTGGCCATGCTAGTTTACAGGGGGTGCCACCAGTCAGGGCAGAGTTACAGTATGTGAAAGAAGTTCAGATGATGGATGGGTATGGTGCTGAATACTACAGTGCTAAGGTAAGTTCAGATGATGGATGGGTATGGTGCAGAATACTACAGTGCTAAGGTAAGTTCAGATGATGGATGGGTATGGTGCAGAATACTACAGTGCTAAGGTAAGTTCAGATGATGGATGGGTATGGTGCAGAATACTACAGTGCTAAGGTAAGTTCAGATGATGGATGGGTATGGTGCAGAATACTACAGTGCTAAGGTAAGTTCAGATGATGGATGGGTATGGTGCAGAATACTACAGTGCTAAGGTAAGTTCAGATGATGGATGGGTATGGTGCAGAATACTACAGTGCTAAGGTAAGTTCAGATGATGGATGGGTATGGTGCAGAATACTACAGTGCTAAGGTAAGTTCAGATGATGGATGGGTATGGTGCAGAATACTACAGTGCTAAGGTAAGTTCAGATGATGGATGGGTATGGTGCAGAATACTACAGTGCTAAGGTAAGTTCAGATGATGGATGGGTATGGTGCAGAATACTACAGTGCTAAGGTACGTCCACAAGTTAGATCAGTGCTTCACAACACAATAATGTTGAGGTCACATATACTCACACCATATGACTTTTATTTGCTTGCAGGATGAATCAAGAAAAGATCTATATCTAGGCACATCTTATGCTGGTATATTTGCTCGTTATGTTGATGGGCAGTCAACTGTGTACTACAAGTAAGTAACTTAACCAGGCAAGGCTTTTGATATTGTCTGTACTACTAGTAATTTATTGATCTAATGCTTTTGATAATGTCTTCAAATTATGTTTGTATTTTTATTGCTATTTGAGTGCAAGTTTTCATTCTGTCAGACAGGCTGTTAGAATCAATTAACAGGCTTTTAACCTTTGCACCTGACATACAATAATGTCCTATTCACTGTCTTCTCCAATGACCCGATTTAATCTTAAAAGTTCATTCTTCCAAACCTAGGTGGGCAGAAATAGCTAAAGTGACACAGAACAAAAAGAGTTTAGAAATTGATACTTCAAAAAGTTCTGTACAGTTTCAATTGGTAAGCTATTTATTTGTGCATACAGTTTGCTCAAGTATTTACAGTATATACTGTAAAGCCTAAGTATTGTTTTTTTGCTGCTAATTTTGGTCATACAAGTGATGGTGTTTTATTATTTAACCAGGAAGACTCAGATACCTCAAAATATGTCTGTCGCTTAGCCCAGCTACAGCGCCAGTTTTATAAGTCATCGAAAGGAAATTTGAGGTCAGTTTTTTCTTGTTATACATTACCATAAATAGGTTCTCACTACTTGTTTTTAAACTGATTTGTTTTAACATTTTAGGTAAAAATAATATTTTAAAATATTATGTTGTGATAAATCCAATAGGCTAAAAACATTTTTATAATCAGATAAAGGAACCCATTTTTACCTAAAAACTATCAACAACATTTTAAACATTTTTCTTAAATTAAAATAAGAAGCTAAGTATTGATTATAAGGTTGTTACTTGTGGGTAAAAATAAGATATTAAAACAGTCCCTTATTGACACACAGATCTGAAGGTAACTAGGGCTCTTGGGGAAAATCTGAGGAAATCAAATTTAAAAGTTAATTTATATATATATATATATATATATATATATATATATATATATATATATATATATATATATATATATATATATATATATATATATATATATATATATAAAACTAATTTTTACATTTTAAAATAAATAAAAATGTTTCTCAATGAATGTTTGTGTTGTTATGGGGTTATCTTAGGAGATTTGAGCTTGGAGATCTAGCCCTCACCCACCAGATATCTATATCAGCCAACCAAACCGTCTCCCCCCAACTTTAAAAAAGCCTTTTTCCTAGACTTGTTCATAAGATCTAAGATATGTTTTTACCCACGTTGGTTGTTTATGTTGAGCATGACATGAGACAAATTCCATTCTTGAACTGCAACTTGTATGAAATTTCATGCAGTTCTGCATGAGCATTGTTTGTTGTACCAGCAGACAGCATGTTACAACTTTCCTTATGTTTTTGTCTGGCTGTATAGCATGCAATATGTTGCATTGTGTTGGCATGATCTTTTTTTCAGTAACAGCCTGACTGATGTCACAGAGGAGGCTGATGGGCAGAGATACGTGTACGTACATTTTTTTTTTAAATACTGCAGTCATACATTTACATGGGCATAGATACATGTATGTACATTTTTATTAGAAATACTGCAGTCATACATTTACATGGGCAGAGATACATGTACGTACATTTTTATTTGAATTACTGCAGTCATACATTTACATGGGCAGAGATACATGTACGTACATTTTTATTTGAAATACTGCAGTCATACATTTACATGGGCAGAGATACATGTATGTACATTTTTATTTGAAATACTGCAGTCATACATTTACATATACTTTGATTGAGATACTGGAGTGTCTTACCTTTGGTACTCACTCGGTGGTCATTGATCTATGATGTCCACACAGAGGGGGGGGGGAGGATCAGGGTTCTGACCATGTGACCTTGTTCATATTGTTAGGTAAACATACAGTATACATCTTGAGTTAGTGTATTGGAAAGTTTTTGGTTGATTGCAAAATAAAAATCATTAAAATAAAACAAGTGCTCATTTATTCATCCAAATTTACTTTTGTTGAGCTCCTTAAATTCTTTTTTTCAATCTACTTTTCATGTTTAACATTTTCAATAAGAATAAATCTTTATAAAAATTATGAGCATTTCTTATTGAGTTAGAAAATAGGATGTAATATTTATTAATTATATTCTATGTGAGTTTCAACATTTTATTTGCATTTTCTTATTGCATTCACTTGTGCAGCATGCAGTAATTTATTTATTAATAATGCAATTTGATGTAATTAGGGGGAAACTGCACATTTCACAAACAGAAGCTTGATGACCTAGGGATTTGACAATGTTTGATATTGTTTTTTTTTTAGTTTCGTAATGTATACAGGTCAACTAATATTAATTCATACTTTAAAAATGCATTTTGTATGCATGCTGTTATTAATTGTATTACATATTTGTTGTTTTTTTTTCCTTTTTTTCCCCTTTGATATTTGTAACTGTTTCAATGCATCTGTTTCAAAGCTATGTAAGCTTTCAGGGAAAAGTGTCAACTATACCAATCAAATCTTACCTTTCAGAGATGCACAACAAGTGTACATTCCCCCTACGGACTCATCCCATTCATCACAAGAATTGGTAAGAAAAGGTTTTTTTCAAGCTCAGACACAGAAAAACTCTTTAAATTTATTATTCAGGTTAAGATTTTTGAATGCAGTATGTTAATCATTATTTATAAAGAAAATTACAAGAAACTTTTTTGTGTGTAGGGTCATTCACAGACATCTTTAACACACTTACAAGAACAAAGGTACTCTCATGGTAAGTTCACATCAATAGTAAATATCTTTCTGAGAGTTTTATCAGAGCTCTGAGCGGTGATACTTAGTCATCAAACGTTTTTTTGTGTAGAAATCCTTCAGACCTCCCATCAAAGTCTAGAGTCATATTTTAATATTTTTTGGTAGAAATTGTCAGAGCTCCCAGCTAATTCTGGAGTATTAATTTAATGTTTTTTGTTTTAGAAATCCTTCAGAGCTCCCAGCAAAGTCTAGAATCATCATCAGAGAGCCAGCAGATTCAACAGCTGCAGCAGTTTCACCACCAGCTGAACCAGCTCCATGGGGCTGGGATAGAGCCAGAGACTGCACTCAACAATAGCATCTATCAGCAGGAGATTATGGTCAGTACCTCAGTGGACATTGTTTGGCCACCGTTAAAAGTTTTTTATTTCATTATTTTATACTTAGCTTGTTGATATTCACTAAGCCGGTTTAGAAAAAACTAATTGGTCTAGTTGTCCAGAAATATAACAACACAGCTTTACTTCTAATTTTATTATATATAAAGAAATGTCTCACTTAAATAAATTTTTGGCATTTTCAACTATTTATGGTTTCACTTCACACAATTTAAAATTTTTGAAAATTACATTACCGTTCGGACTTATGTGTATCAAAGCCATAGAAAATTGCCTTTCCCATCCATTACACCAATGACACATGAATGAGACTCACAACAAGCATTCTTATTGTTATAACACTTATATATTTGAGTAATAGTTGAATCTGTTTCTAGCGCCATGAATCTTTGACACCAACCCCAGAGGGTGACCCTGTGTATGTGAACAGAGCAGCTCTGCTGCCAGCCTACAGGCCCAGTCCTGATTATGATGCTGTCATGCAGCAGAGAATGATACAGCAACATCAGCAACAGCAGCCTGCACAGCAACAACCTCAGCACCATCAGCAACAGCACCATCAGCATCACCAGCAGCAGCAACCCACCCAGCACCAGCAGCCCTCACACTTTAAGGACATTACCCCACACCTTGGTGCGGCCCAGGTGTATGTCCACCCTGATGGCATGGCTTACAGCCAGCCTGAGATCAGCCTAAACATCAGCAACTACAGGGATGAACACGGGAACTATGCCAATGTTGACGCCCTCAGGAACTACAGCCACTCAATCTATGCAAACATCTTCCAGGATAGCCATGGCTTCTATGCTGGACCAAGTGGCCAGAGGTCGACTAATTTAGCAGTGCACCCCACCTACAGCTCCCCAGAGCTGAACAGTGAGCTGCACCAACAAGACATGTATGCGGCCAACGAGTTTTCTGCCCAGGAGGCCATGGCCTACCACTTCCGTCCACCACCCCCCTACCCCCGCACCAGTAGCAGCACCCCAGACCTGGCTGGTCAGCCGAGCACCAACTTGATGACTGACCAGTCTGGGCTGGTTGTCCACAGCTCTGCCGATGTTGGAGCCCATGATCTTATTGTGCAATCTCGCCTGGACAGGAGTGTGGAAGACCTGTCTGGGTATAAATCTGCTCTAGGCCCCCACCAGCTCCCCTTCTCCACTTCAGATGCTGTGGGTAGGAGTTCCTCCAACAGCGCAGCCAATCAGGACAATCATAACATGAACATCACGAGCCTAACTGTTGAGGCCTTGAGTGATGGTTTGAAAAATTCTTCAGCTCTTTCTGAAAATGATTCAACCCTGACCAGGGAAACAGCTCAGAAAATTTTAATTGATGACCCAGATGATACATCCAGTGAACATTCCTATTCAACGTTTCATGCTAAAGAATCTGATGAAAGTTCAGAAGAAGAAGGTTCAAGGAAAATCTCCCAGCCAAAGGAAGAGTCGAAGATTCAGATCCGAATGTTCACACCACAGGAAGCCCCGCCCCCATCAAAGTTGAAGGAAGAAGCAACACTGAGAGAAAGTTTTCGCAGGTTGAAAATAGCCAGGACAGGCTCAGTGAACAAAGATGTCCCCATGTTTGGTAGGTCATCATTACGTGGCATGAAAGAGCCCACAGATGAAAGTTCTGTGGTTTCCCCCCACCTGAATGTGGTGTGTGAACAAGATTCAAGCCAGAAGCCTGTGGGATCTCTGTCTACACAGGAAGTTGGCACCCTGCCAGAGATGAAAGAAATCCTGGAACGTCTTGGTGCTCCACCACCATACCCTGGTAAAGCCAACGCGGTGAACATGCCAGCACCAGCAGCTAAAAACATCAACAACAACAACAACAACACTGTCACTGAAAACAAGGAAGACATTTTCAAAATTCCACTCAATCCCCAGACAAAAGTGTCAACAAATGCTGTCAAGAGGTCCAGTTCTGTTGGAACTGCGCCTGTCAAATCTAGTCCTCTGCTGCCTGCCAGAAAAGACATGTCTGGGTCTAAAATAAAAGGCCCTGCGTACAGTCTGGACACTGTGGTTCCAGTCTCTAAGCCAGCCATGAGTCGCCCCCCTAAAGAGCCAGAGATTAGCACTTCTGTCTTGAGAATAGAAATGGCCAACAGCTCCTCCAGCACGTGCAGTGATAATGAGACCAACAAAAGTGGTGAGAAAGATGCCAGCAACAGCGGTGGTGGTCAGGAGGAAGACGCGGCCAGTGACACACTGACCAGCTTGCACGACTTCTCTGTGGGATCAGACAGTGACTCAGATCATGAGAGGGTAAGTTTAATTTTATCAGACAGCGACTCAGATCATGAGAGGGTAAGTTTAATTTTATCAGACAGCGACTCAGATCATGAGAGGGTAAGTTTAATTTTATCAGACAGCGACTCAGATCATGAGAGGGTAAGTTTAATTTTATCAGACAGTGACTCAGATCATGAGAGGGTAAGTTTAATTTTATCAGACAGCGACTCAGATCATGAGAGGGTAAGTTTAATTTTATCAGACAGTGACTCAGATCATGAGAGGGTAAGTTTAATTTTATCAGACAGCGACTCAGATCATGAGAGGGTAAGTTTAATTTTATCAGACAGCGACTCAGATCATGAGAGGGTAAGTTTAATTTTATCAGACAGTGACTCAGATCATGAGAGGGTAAGTTTGGTTTTATCAGACAGCGACTCAGATCATGAGAGGGTAAGTTTGATTTGATCAGACAGCGACTCAGATCATGAGAGGGTAAGTTTGGTTTTTAAACTACTGAGATATTGTGTGTTTTTAATGATGAATGATTATTTGCCACCCATGAACTTTAAGTATTGATTTGATACAAACATATAATTTCAGAGTACATCGCAAGTTTTAAACATGGGTCCCCTTAAAATGGCAGCTCTGAATGGTTTGACGCTGTCAAGATCAATGGTGTTGTCTATGATGAATGATGACAGCAGGGCACCCACAGATGACAGAGTAAAGTGGTTTATTTTTTTACATTTAGATTAAGATCAGCGTTATTTTGTAGTAGTTATTTTTTAATGTTGACTAGTAGCACAATTTACTTAAAAAGCTGCAGGGTTTAGTGTAGAGATGAAAAGGTTAATTCCATGTACATGTGACCCAGTCTAAAATGTACGCTTGTTTATTTCTTTAGAGACGGATGCTTGAAAGTAAGATATCTGAAGGGCAAGTTTATGTTGAGTTTGAACAAATCCCTCGTAAGGCAGACAGCATGGACTGCAGTGTAGCCCTGGCTCCACACAATGCACCAAGGAACAGGTTCAAAGATGTGCTGCCCTATGACATCACTAGGGTCAAGCTTGCTCCCACTAAGGACAACCCTGATGGCTACATCAATGCTTCACACATTAAGGTAAAAATAGCTTGTCCAAGTTAGGGTTTTGAGTTCCTTAAATTTAGTTTTATAAATTTTTATTTCAAGTAAATGCCGTCAGATTTGGAGAACAGAGAATTCAGCTTTTTTTACTACTGCTTATCATTAGTGATTAAATAAATAAAAAGCTTTTCTTGATTTTGTTATCAATAAATCACAAGTAATTAATTTAGAAACTTATTATTTTCCCTTAGTATTACTAGGAGTGTAGTGGTGAGAAGAAATAAACCGTTTTGGTCTGGTCATGCCATAATTTGAGTCAATGTTACATTTTAAAAAGTCTGATCAACTAATGTCTTAAATTAAATAGTTATTTTACAGTTTGTAAAGATTATTTTTGTTTGATTATTCTGAAATTAGATAAAAACCCTTAGAAATCATTTAAGAAGCATGAACACGCTGGCAACGTCCCTGAAGCAGGTAGAATAACCTGACAATTTTTCTTGCTTTTTGGCTGTTGCTTTTTAACTTGGTGTGAATGGATATCATAATTCTAAAAAAAAAATTAAAGTTTTTTGTTTTCAAATCAAAGCTGACAGCCAATGACAACAAGTGGCTATTTATAGCAACACAGGCTCCTTTAGAAAACACAGCTGTAGATTTCTGGCAAATGATATGGGAAAACAGTGTTGACGTCTTGGCAATGTTGACTCCGTTTCAGGTGAGATTTTTGTTTTAAACTATGGACCAAGTCATTGGAAGGCTTAGGCTACAAATTGGATGTTAAACAATAATCTTGTCCTTGGTGTGAACTTATATCAGTATTTTGTGATTATGTTTTCTCTTCTTTTTAAATTAGGAGTTGGGAAAATCCAAATGTTTTACATACTGGCCACAAGAACCTGGACCACAGCATAAGCACGTTTACGGAGAAGTAAGTTCATTAAGAAATGAGTTATTGATGTTTTCATTTAATCAAGTCACAATAAAACTGTTAACATCACGTATAACCAAACCACTCTATGTGTTATTCAGTTTGAAGTGGAGCTACAGTTTACTGACGACTCATTATGTTACCTAACCAGTCGTATTATCTTGAGACATGCTGGGCGGGAGCATATGGTCTGGCATCTACAGTACACAGACTGGCCTGACCATGGATGTCCTGAAGACACATATGGCTTTTTGGGTAGGTTCATGGCTTTTTGGGTAGGTTTTAACATGGCTTTTTGGGTAGGTTTTAACATTTGGCAGTTTGGGTAGGTTTTAATGTTTGGTTTTTTGGTAAGGTTTTAACATTTGGCTTTTAGAGGTTTTAACATGGCTTTTTGAGTAGGTTTTAACATTTGGCAGTTTGGGTAGGCTTTAACATGTTTTTTTAGTAGGTTTCTTCAAGATTCAAATCACATTTTAGCACTTTCTGGTATCTAGCTGTTACTGTTTAATTTTCAGGATTTCTGGATGAGATTGAATCAGTTGCGCGACTAGCTGAAAGTGAGACTGGGCGCGAAGAAAAATCTCCTGTTGTGGTCCACTGTAGTGCAGGGGTGGGAAGGACTGGTGTTGTGATACTCACAATGGTGATGAAGTGGTGCTTGGAACACAACCATGTAAGCTCTAGCACTGATGTGCACTCATACTAGTACTGATACTTACTTGCACTGATACTAGCTACCCCTGATACTTGCCTGTAGTAATACTACCACTGATACTTGTCTTAACTGATACTTTCTTGCAAAGTCATCTTCTAATACAGTCTAGTACTGATATTAAAACATTTCCATTTTTAGCAAATAACACATAACTCAAAATTTCTATTATGTTATAACATTTCTATTATGTTATAAAATCATATTAATTTAAAAAAAACAATAACCAAAAACCACATTTTATTTCAATTTTCAGAATGTGGATTTGCCAAAAGCACTTCTGGGAATTCGCAACCAGCGAATGCATATGGTGCAAACGATGGGGCAGTATCGATTTATTCATGATACTCTCATTCAGTATCTGAAAAATACAAGACTCATTTAATCATGTCCAATTAGACCACTCTTCTGTTTGACAGTATTTCAAATTACACATGAACTTTTATTTCTGTTCAGATATTGGGGCAGACATATTGAGATTATATTTAATTCAGGTTTACTGTTACATTATATTCCCTCGGTGAGTACGCCTAATGTCTGTTAGCTTATGTCACATGATGTGTATGTCAAGACATCATAGAAGATTGAGCTGTTGTGTTGATGCTAGAGCTTAAAGGAATTTAAGAATTACTTTTTCAGTCCATTCAGAAATACTTTTGTCTTCAAAAAGATAAAAAAGAAATCCACGTGTTTTAAATTCCTAATGACCCACAATTATGATGAAGAGGGAGTAACGTTTGTAGCTGTGTACATAGTTGGTCCCTAAGGTGATGAAAGCAAGTGCCTTATATACTAGAAGTGCTTGTTACACACTTTCAAGCTTGTGTTTATGTACATATTTTATGTTTTCTTTACCACACATCTTAGCCAAACATTTTCTTATCTTTTATAAAGAATATTCTCATGTGTGTTTAAACAAGGCTAACAAGCAATAATTTGTTCCCATCAGTAAGGTTTCCTTTATTCACATGTAATCAACACATCTTTAAGAATGGAAAACTCCCACCATTCCAGATATTTGTATTGATAAAACTTGATCACCCTCAGATGGATGTCTGAGATAAAAATAATTGATCTGATTTCCATTTTGTCACTAATTCAACATTTCACAACCAGATTCACATGTTATTGATCAAACTAACAACACATAATGTGCAATAGTTAATCCCTTCTTGTCATTTCCTTTGTTGATTTGTAGATTTTCTTGTTCTTTCATGAATTTTATTTTTAATCCCTGAAATTAGTTCAACTGATTCATAAGGTTGTGCACAGGGATTGAAAATGTTTATCTCCCTTGCCTGTAAGTGCATTGTTTTTACAATTGTCTACTAAAAGTTTTTTTTTCTATTATATAAATATGTATTTGATTTGTACAAAAAAGATTACTTTAAGATGAATACATTTACATAAAATATTACAATACTCATTTGTATTTAGTCACCTTTTGCTATATTTTTCTCCAAAAAAGGCCAGTATATAAGACTATATTTAGCTTTGTTGTACCTTGTTTTGGTGCTGCAGGGCGGAGCCTACAACAGCCTAATTTTGTTTGCCTGTGACTACTGTGTTATACTTGAACACACAGCACTAGGTACATGGGGCTACACATGTTGCCTGTGACTACTGTGTTATACTTGAACACACAGCACTAGGCACATGGGGCTACACATGTGTTGCCTGTGACTACTGTGTTATACTTGATGCTAGAACACACAGCACTAGGTACATGGGGCTACACATGTTGCCTGTGACTACTGTGTTATACTTGAACACACAGCACTAGGCACATGGGGCTACACATGTTGCCTGTGACTACTGTGTTATACTTGATGCTAGAACACACAGCACTAGGCAGTTGGGACTACACATAATAAACACTAATGCATGGATTGAAAATTTCGTGAACTAGATTTTACTTTCTGCTAATACTTTGTGTGACACTGTTCCAGGCTATATTTGTTTGTCACTTGAATTCAACATGAAAAGGCTCAAGTCACTTTTCCATCATAATGTTCATAAAGTGCATTTATAATACTGCATTAATATTTGATTGTAAGATGAAATAACATAATGTGTCAGCCCTTATGCATGCTGTTCATATGAACCTAATTCATTGTAGTTTTTGTTCAAGTCTGTTGATGTTAAACAATAATTTGATTTTATAACTGCCTTATTTACTATACAATTTTTAAAAAATTGCCACACCCAGTTCTATAATTATGCAAAAGAAACTGTGTTTTGGCCTAATTTTGTTATAGCATGTTATCAATGCCTACATATTCTTGGCTTTTTCCAGTGATGTCACAAAATTTTTATTAGAACTTTTCTTTGTTTAATTATGTGATTGTATTAGTATCTAATAATTTCATAATCATAAATTTAGAAAAAAGTGTTCTTGCTAAATTAATAATTGGTCCTAATCATGGTATTCTAAAATCCTTTTTTTTAAAAAGTTCACCATACGACAAGATTTTATGCTTTTAGAAACACCAATTTGTTTCATGGCTTTGATGGGATGGTGCACCTTTTAAATTATAATTGCAATCCTGTTCTGAAAATATGGCGTCACATTCAATGACAAGAAATAATATAAATATATTTAAATGAATAATAATGTGTTAATAATAATTGCAGTATTAGCATTGGTTGCAATACTTGTCAGTAACCTTAACTATTATTTTTTGCTTTTTTTATATTTATAAACTGCTATAGCCAGTTAGATATTTTGTAGCTACTATTCATATTTTTGGCGACCCTTTATCAGGTGTCATGTGGGTTACATGAAATATGTATTAAGACAGGTGCTTACTTAAGTAACAGAAAAACAAGAATTTTTTTGTGTTGTTAATATTTGAAAAAAGTGATGTTTGATGTTTTCCCCATTTACTCTTTCATTGAAGCTGTTTTTACTGTTAATATAGTGTTTGCTTCAAAAATGTATGTCCTTTTTGTTTCAGTAATATGCAGTATAAATGAAAATACTGATACGTAGCAGGATTTTAAGAAGTTTTTTTCACTCAAAAATGTGTTTAGTAAAAGAAAATCTAAAGCATAAATATTTGTATAAAGCCTTGAAAAGATTGTGTTCTCTAATGTTGGATCACTTCATGCCAGTTGATGGGAGGAGCAGTGTATCCTCCCCATCCATACCCTCCCTACATGGTAAATTATGATTGTACTGCCTTAAGTTTTGTGCAATTACTTGCTAATTGTGTTGTGAAGTTATTTAGTCAAATGTACTGCAATGAAAAATTTAAAACCATTGAATGAGGGAAATGAATTTTTGCTATTTGTTCAGATTTTGATATTTGAAGTTGATATAAAAAAAAAATCTTTTGAGGATGCTTATGTTGTTTTCTTAAACATGAAGATATTGTATTAATGCTTTTGGACAACATTAAAATATACAAGCTATTGAAAGCATATCTCAACTATTTTTTATTATTTTTGTAACCCGTATAGAAATATTACATTATGATAACCATTGAGACGAGTTATAAAATATTTTAAATTATATATTACCAAAGAATCAAGAGAATTATTACAAAATTAAAACAAAGTAAGCTAGAATGATTAAATACTTTCTTGTAACGAACAGGTTTATTATCAAACAGCCATACAATTTAGCTAGATTCACCTCAATGGCAGACAGTTCACACAATAATATATTGCAACTTTACACAACTCAAGACAGATCATTTGTATACTAATGTTGATATCTGCAAACCATATTCTGAGACAGATACAGGGATTATCTAGTTCACAAGGTATCACATACAATACTGCATTCTAAATTTAAAACAAAATTTGCCTTTGTAAAGAGGCTGAATGCAGTTAAAAACAATAAGTCTAAAAAATGAAAAAAACAGTCCTCAATTGTTAGCATACCCTGAAAAACTCAATAGTAACTTGTTATACAAACATCTATCGTCCTAGCCTGACATTTTTACCCTGATATCGGGTTTTTGATTGTGTTTTATAAAAAATTCCGAGGGCACTATCATGTGAACAATAGGGTTTCATCTTTTTGTAAAATGTGAGAAAATGTATCAAATTAAAAATAACTTTTTCAAACAGCAAAACTTTTTTTGTGTAAATACCTAAATGACTAAATACATCATAGGCTTATGAATGTATTGTTATTATTTTTTTCTAATATACGAGTAAGTCACAGAAAAAAATATGTGATAAAAATGGCAGCACCACTTCCTAGCAGTTACTGAATGTGTTAGTTGGTGATGAAAGATTTGGCAAAATTTACATATGTACAATAGGAAGCGGAAATAACAAATATTTTCCTCCACCATTAGAATATATTTTGTAAAGTGAACTACCAAAATGTTTTTAAAATCATAGAGTGGCTTATGAAAACAACTGAGTAAAATCTCACAATATCATCTGTAGTTATATCTTTTGTGGTAAAAAAAAATTGATTCAAAAATATCTTAATGATTTACTGTAAACCCATGAAAATGTTTTGAATCCACTTTCTTTTCATCCTTGAATACACATTTCTCAATTCTGGATTTTGGACTACCTGTTTCTTGAAGCCATTTTTTCCTGGAAAAAAAATACAAATATAAAATACATATGCAAAAGAACAAGTCTGGCTATATTTTCAACATTTACATAAACTGCAATAACTGTGAGAGTTAGTTATCTACACTGTCAATTACATCACTGGACAATTATTTCTTTTTAACAATCTTTTCTTAAGTAACATTCACTAACATGGTCCAGTTGGTAGTTTGTGGTCAAATCTTGTAACACAGTTTTGACCCATACCTAATAGAGCAATATCTTTAACAAATTTCCAGACAAGAGAATTTACAGTGACAACTGACAAAACATGAATATCTTATGTTTAATTCAATTAGATATTCAATTAGTTATTTAAAATTTATTTAAAGATTACAAAATTCAACAGCAAAAAGGGGAGATAACAAGATTAAGAACTCAGGTAAGCTGATGCAGATGATCAGGGATGCTAAAATGGAGAAGGAAATTGTTGAGAGTTTATTTTATTTTTTTACAATTGTTGTTTTAGTCAACTGCCCCGCCTTCTAAAAACATTCCAATCAATAAACTAATTTTTTTTTAATACTTTAATATTGACTATTTATTATATTTTCACAAAGCACAGATACTAAGAGAGAGGAAAAGAAACATGAATAAAAAATTATAACAAGTTATAATGTAAATGCACTTTAATAAGAAAATAAAACCATCTTTTCTTTCATAAGAGAATAATAAAAGTCTATGGTTTCTACATTTTATGAATAGAATGGGTACAAAACTAAATAATAAAAATTACAAGTTTGTAAACATGTATTTCACTTAAAGAAAAATATAAATAAATGTAGATTACTCCATGTCAAATATGATTGTTAAATATCTTTATAACAACGGAACCACTGTGAAAATAAGAAAAAATAACTTGAAGTTTGTAGAGAACTTCCTAAATCAAACAAAGAAAATAGATGTAATACAAATTTTCAACCCGCATTGTATGCAATATTCCACAACCTAATACATATTTATGAAAAATGCTTCATAATCTTACAAATAATTTAATTTTTTTTTTGAGTCCTAAAAGTGTAATGGATTATTTTCCTCTAATCAAATGAAATGTTACACATTAAAATTACCTTGAAATTTACTTAACCAACTCATGAGATTATAGTTTAACTCTAATGTCTGATATCAAAGGATGAAAAACTTGGTTTATCCACTATTTTCTCATTGGAAAACACACACTTATCTATATGAGACTCAGGACTGCCAGTCTTTTCTAGCCAAATTTTCCTGTAAAAATAATTCATTCATAGTAGAATGGGCCTAAATGTGAATTTTTTTTCTAGAGTGCTCCACCCTACTGAAGGGCCCAGTTGTAGAGACCTATTCAGAAAACCTAAACTGAAGATGTAAGTCTTTACTTACATGATTTTTATTTTATCTTCTGGTCCTTCAATGCAACCAATCACTGTACCACCCTGTGTGTTCTGGACCCATCCTGTAAGTCCTAATTTCTTTGCTTCACTCTGCGTGTGCTGTGGTGATATAGAAGTTACTTATAAAAGACTACAGAAAAATGAGCCTCCAGCTAATTTACTTTTTATGAGCAGAATTATTTTCATGATGCACACTATTTTTCCTTAACTATTTTAAAATTCCTATGCCACAGAAAAACTCATCCTTTTCCAGTTCATTTAAAACCTAGACATCATATATATATAAACTAATCACAAATTAATACTAGACATAAAAATTTAAAGTGATGTTTTATGTAGGCTTATTTAAGAAAGAAAATGTGCTTAATCTGAAACAAGAAAATAGTCAGCAACTTTTTAAAAATTTGTTTGAAAAATGTATAATTAAAATTATTTTAAATAATTTCTTTTAATCATAGAAAAATGAATGCTTTAAAACCAAAATAATGAATTAGCCTAGCATTAGAACAAATGCTTTTTTCGGGTAAATTATCTTAAGCAAATATTTAGACATGGCTACAGAATAATGATCTACAGAGATAAAAAAAAATCCAAAATAAATATAAAATAAACTATGCAAAAAACAAACCCTTACAATTTTAACAAAGTGACCCAAATATACAAATAAAAAAACTTACTATCTATTAAACATACCTTTCTAAAAAACACTCCTGAAAAAAATATATGAAATCATTAGGTCAATAAACAAAAAAATGTTTTGACAAACTGGTTTGTCAAAACAACATTTGTATTAGTCCTCAATGAAAGCATAAAATTGGCAATGTAATACAAAAAGTAAGAAAAGAAATTTGAGTTCCTCATTCAATGAGTCATGATCACTCACCAATGAATACTTTTTAACTTCAAGCTGCATTTTAATAACTAAACAATAAACATTACAGGAAAATGTAAAAAAAAAAAAAAAACAAAAAAACAAAGCAGATAGAATCTATATCAGATGATCAGCAATGGACTGCCAGTGATTGTTAGTGTAATCTTTAAATATTTTAGTTTCTTTTAACTTTTAAAAAGTGTCAAATACTGGAAAACATAAACTGAATACACTCACATCAATCATATATAATTTTTACAAATTTTCCAAGCAGTTTTGGTTGTAAATTTTATGAAAACATTTTATCAAAATTTATTATCATTTTAAGATAGCAGTTCCAAAACTCCAAACAAAAGGACTATTTTAAGTTTGAAAAAAAAAAAGATTAATTTAGTAAATTGGGAGAAAAGTTACATTTAATACGTTTTAGTAAATTACCATAGCTTTTTTGGTCTATACTGTTATTAAGTTTATGGTTAAATTAAGTATATTAAGCTTATTACTAGGCAGACCTCAGATGCCAATATAGAAATAGGGGAGCTCAAACATTCAATACTAGATTTTTCTAGATCTAGCAACTAGGTAGCTAGTAGTACTGGCTAGCTATAATATTCGTTATTACATTGTTTACTGATAGTGGAGGTCACCAAGTTGACGAGGATACTTCCATCATATTGGTGACATGGATAAAATTCTTTTTTTTTAAAAAATATATTGACTTCGTAGCTGAAGTAAAAATAATAAAAAATAAAAACTTAAGCCCAAAAAAATTTCAGAAATATAATATTTTTAGAATCAATGTTATAAAAGTTGCAAATCCAGAGAACTACATAATAATTTTTTGAGTTTAAGGTTACATTTCCATTTATTTTCATAAATCCTAAGCTATAACCTGATGTGTCACTTTCGTAACGACATAAGACAAACATTGATTGGCTCAACAGGAGCTCCGTGATCAATTTCTGACAGCCCCACATCATAATTTTTGTTTGCAGATAATATTAAAGTTTTAAAGTAACAATGCAAATTTAAACCATATGACCTAATTCTCCCTTTTTTTCGCGTACAATTTGTACAATAAATGTATGCTAGCCTATCCAATAGCAGGATGCCATTGTTTATGTCGCCATTACACGTGAAAACCAAATTTTTTTCACCTTTTTAATTTTTTTTATTTAGTTACCAAAAATATTAAGAACATCAAATACATCCAATCTTTAGTAAAGTCCAAAAAAACAAAACAAAAAAGACAGGTTTTTATAAGCTGTGCATGACACTGTGCATGTTTTTAAAAATATTTAATGGGCCTCTCAAATACCTTTGAGACTTTTCTCGCCCGGGTCCGTTCGGAACCAATTCTAGATCTAAATCTATTTTTTTAATCTAATCAATTAAAATTAAATCAATCATCAATCACCAATCAACAGACATCATCATCAGCCCGGACATCAGCACATCTGATGATCTAGATTTCTAGTTCTAGAATTCTAGACCTAGACTAGATCTGTGAAACAAAATCATGCGATTTTGTGTTTTAAAAACATATTATAATGCAACGATTTAGAATGTTGTAGATAAAATTTGATGCAAACAACTATTTATTTATTCTAGATCTATTACCTTGAACTTTTCCAAACACCTCAAAACTCACACTTTTTAGAGGGGTCGCCATGATAAACAACTTTCTACCGGTCGCGTAATGTTAAAATCATGTTTATTGAACGGTTAATATGCTGAATCGAAATATATTATAGAAATTGTATTAAATAAAAGTATAATTTGAAATATATTTCATAAGAAATAAAAATTTGTTTCTTATTTTTAAAATATATTTTCATAGTAATAGTATAGAATTAGATTAGTATCTAATATAATATTTTAATTTTATACACAAGCTAATTCGTTAAATATCAACAGTAAAAAATTAAGTATTTTAAAAACATTATTTTTAAATTCCATTCCTTTCTATTATAACTTTTAATAGTAATAGTAATTTAATTTTTGTTCATTAACGTTATTAAATGATTTAAAATCACACAAAATATATTAATTTAATTATTTTTCTAAATAGCCAGTAAAGTACTATTTTTTTCGAGAAGCATTGATTAGAGGTTAATGCGGAAGTAACTCGCGTCCCTAGCAACACAAAGACCACCTGCAGCCCTTATCAAATATTAGCCATAAATTCAGTTTGTTAAATAAATAAACAATTTAAAAAATTATAGCTTTGTTCTTTAAATACTGTTCTAGTCTAAATAAAAAAAAATGACTGTCAATTTAGAAGAGTATTTTAGGACCACGTTTGAAGACAAACTACTTGTGTAAGTACTAAGTACTACTAATAACTAATAATTAGTACTATCTATTACTAATTATTATTAATTATTATTATTACTGATTAGTACTAAGTTACTACTACTATAATACTATTTATAACTATTTACTATGGGCAATCTGAATTATTATTACTGATTAGTACTAAGTTACTACTACTATAATACTTTTTATAACTATTTACTATAGGCAATCTGAGTAAAGGCCATAGCCTATTCCTAAGTATTACTAAGTAAATTAAAATTTGCCAATTTACTAATTTAGGCCTTAGGCTATTTTACTATTTTAGCTGATTAATATATTTTATTAATTAACTAGCATACTAAATAATAGTTTACTAACTAAGGCTTAGTATTAAAAGAATGATATTAATGATAATAGTCTCTAATTAGTAATTACTAATTACAGATACTGTGCGCGTTGGCTGATTTAATTATTACTACCCAGCTAACACAGTATGTAATACCAGGGTCGGCCCAACCTTGGCCCAATGTTGTAATCATGGCCAAACATTGGACAAGCTTACGCCAGGGTACAGCCAAGATTTGTACATGCTTGCATCCCTTGATACCTTGATATTTAACCGTTTTTACCTTGGCTGCCAAGATTACACTGATTTATGGATTCACTGCAGAAATTTTAGTTAAATATGCTTGTTAAACTTAATATATGTTAACTAAAATTAATTTATCTTTTAATATCATGCTCTAATGTAAACATAGCATGATTAACAGACTACGTTGCATGTGTTAAACATTTTGTTAATCTTTTTAAAATTGTGTGCGCTACTGCCACCGGCCCCCTGTCGCCCATTGTCCCTTTGTTCACATTCCTTCCTATTGTTCGCAAGCCAGCATCCCGGTCCTGCGCCATTTTTCTTAACAAAAGACTTTGTATCCAGTCACAGTAAAACAGGTAGGCCCACTGTAGCCATTTTAGTTCAACAGTGAGAAGTAGTATAACTGTATTTATGCAGAATCTGGAAAACTCGTATTTTTTTGTTGGAAACTTTAACTTTATGGGCCTAAGTCATCAAATAAAAGTTATAAAAGGTAGTTTATTTGAGGTAATAAAATGAGCCTAGATCTAGATCTAGTCTAGATCTATATAATATTAATAATACTAGAGTCTATATTCTGTTTATTTTGGCATTAGGCTAAAATTACATTTTACAATAATCTCCTTTATGATAGATCTAGATAGATCTAGATTCTAATAATACTAAATAACTAAAAATCGTAATCAGAGGGCGGTTAATTTTGACAGCACTTTTTTTTTGTATTGAAAAGTATGCAAGTACGTTTGGGGTTATATTGATTATTGATAGATCGATGTATTTATTGGTTTTCAACTTTAGGTATAATTATCACGCACAGGGAAAGGGGGGGGGGGGGCTTAAATGTTTATAAATTAATAAATAATCATTCACTTTAACTTTTTTAAAAACTTAATTTTATTGTTCTAGGCCTATTTGTGTAAGGATTTGAAACTGTCTTTATTAATTAATTCAGAGAGAGAGAGAGAGAGGAACAGTAGACACAATTATAGAACAAATTTCTACATGTTAAACAGTGTATTTTGATAGGTATTAATTTTGAAAAAAAAATAGTCAACTAGAATTCTAAATTGATTCAAGATTGTCATTCAAATTTCTATTACTGTTACAGGTCCCTATGGGAGAATAAGATGTCATCATCATCACTCCTTTGTGGCCCCTGGGGAGCAAAGGGCTGCAACCACACATCTCCAGCGGACTTGGTTTTGGGCTGCTCCTCTAATCTGTGCCCATGAGAGCCCAGCTGTTTTCGCCTCCTCCTCAACCGTTCTCTTCCATGTTTTCCTTGGCCGGCCCACCCTCCTTTTTCCCTGGGGATTCCAGTCTAATGCATGTTTTGATGAATAAGATGTAAGTTGTGTAAATAGTAGTGTGGAGACCTCAGAGCAACACTTAATTTCATGACCAACAGCGATAAGATGGTACTATTAGTAAGCCATACTTAATGATCAACACTACTCATATTATCATATAGAGGACAGAGTAGGCAAATGGTTGAGGACACTATTGCTAAACATAAAGCCAAGTTAGTAGTACATTCATCAGTTCACCTAAGTCTGATATATACCCAATTTAAGACTATGAAATAAAAAAGGTGGCTAGATATAGTGTTGACTACACAATCCTTTATATACAGAGATCAAATAAACAGAGATACTTAAAAATTAGTATCTAATCTGGCTATCATTTATTGTATCACTCACTCATTTTATTATTATATTTAATAACTAAGAATGCCATTTATTTTCAGGCCTCCAGGTGTTGTGTATATCAATCAGCCCACTGGAGATATATCAATCTTTAATAAATTATAAGGTCCCACTGCTTGATACTTCACCAAATACTGGCTACACCAGAAAATGACTAAATGTTCTTAACACTTAACAACTGTAAGTTTACATTGTTTCAAAGTGAATAATAATTTTCATTTAGTAATTTTTGCTTGCATGTATTGATCAGCATGTGTAGTTAATGCCTTTACTGATATTAGTAAAATAATTTCAGACCACAAGCATTACTTCTGGGTCACTCTGAAGGGTCTAATCGTTCAATTACTGAATTGATAAAGTTGATGAAATTGCTCAAAAATTTTCTGGCACCTTCTTAGCTCAGAGACATAGGGTAAGGGGTTTATAATATTTATATACATACTATTATTTTTTTTATTACCAGGTCTTTTTTTTCACTTTTGTTTATATATATATATATATATATATATATATATATATATATATATATATATATATATATATATATATATATATATATATATATATGCAGTATAAGTGTTACCTGGGTAGCATGAACACCCCAGACCACCAGTCTTTATACCTATATAATATATCGTTACAAGGTAGCAAACATGATGTTAGGGGCTTCTTGTTGTATGTTCAGTGCAGTGCAAAATAAAATAAACATAATAAATTTAGTGCAAAATGAGCAGTGTATGGTTGTAATTATTTCATAAATGACTTTTAGTGTGTAACTTTTCTTTTTTAGAATGTGGATGGATTATGACATACCTTGCACAAATCAACAACCAGGCTTTTATTGGATTTGAATCCCAAAGGAAAGAGAAAGTTTGTTATCCAAAACAAACATGGAAAATATCAGAAACGAACAAAACACAAGCAGGCAGAGTCTTATGGACACAACTTTGGGGAATCTCCTAAAACCAAGTATAAAAATAGAGAGGTGTGGTTGTGTCTCTCAGCTCCACAAGGGTCCACAAGAATGAGGACAACGGTGATTTTCGTAATAATTTTAGATCAGATTTAAAAAAAAAAATTTGATCAGATGGATCAGGTTAACAGTTTAATACATATTGCATTTAAGTGCTTAACGAAAAGAAAAGATGCTCTTACCAAAATAGTCTAAGAAAAATGCTGATTTTAAATTAATAAATTGTTTCCTTTTGTAATAATATAATAATTTAAGTTGGCATTGTATGTATGTTTAGTGTAGATTTAATGCCCTAAATGAAATATACAATTGACATTTTTTTCTTTAAAGAATTAGTTGCAAATTTCTTTCATTATTTAGTTTCACTGTACAATCTGAAAAAAGCTTGCAACATTTGTATTGACAATACTTCTGCTGGTGATATTTATTTCTAATTAATGAAGTAAATTAATATATATTCAGTTTACTATAATTAAATACCTCATACTCGAGACAAAAAAACATTTATTAAATATCGCAGTGATATTCCTGTTCTACACAATGCGTATAAACCCTCGAACCATCTGTCTTTTGAAAGATTGTACATTTTGTATACACAATGGCATTCATTTCAACACTATTTAACCACAATTATAATCTAGAGATCCTGAACATATTTTCGTTCTGTTATTTATGGACAAGGCAGACTGGTCCAGCATTAAAATGTAAACCTTAATTAGAATACTTAAACGAGCTATGCAATTAAATGTTGTTAGACAAATATTTTATACTTTTATTTTTAATGTTATGTTTACGTATCATAGTACAAGACAGCTTCTGTATTCTTGTACAGTAAACTAAGTTTTTACATTAGTTTAATTTAAACTGTAGGCCTGCTTAACATCTGTTACATTATATGAAAATGTTTTGTATATTTGTTTTAATTTGTTTGTATAAAAGTCAAAATGAAAGTTACTACACTATAATTTACTTATTCTTTTTCAATCAATACTTTATAGTATAGTTATAATTTTCTTACAATTGAATGGATGGTATAATACAGATTTTAATAGATGAGCAGTTCTTGTGTATGTATTGCTGCTTTACTACATTTTGATTAAAATTTCTTTCACATTTTGAAATTACCTTTGTAAATATTATGACTGATATGAGAATGGATCTTTTTGTATGCTAAAAATAAAAATTTGAGCCAAGATGTAGCCAGGATATAATACAGGCTGAGCCAAGGTATAGCCGAGATATAGCCATTATTGGGCCAAGATGTAGCCAGGATATAATACAGGATGAGCCAAGGTATAGCCAATATTGGGCCAAGATATAGCCATTATTGAGCCAAGATGTAGCCAATATTGGGCCAAGATGTAACCATGATATAGACAATATTGGGCCAAGATATAGCCAATATTGAGCCAAGATGTAGCCAATATTGGGCCAATATGTAGCCGGGATATAGCCAATGTTGGGCCAATATGTAGCCGGGATATAGCCAATATTTGGCCAAGATCTAGCCAATGTTGGGCCAATATGTAGCCGGGATATAGCCAATATTGTGCCAACATTGCGCCAACATCATGCCGAGTTTCACTACCAATGTTTCGCCAAGGTTAAGCCAATGTTGCACCAAGATGTAGCCAATATTGGTAACCAATGTTTAGCCAATATTGGGCCAATATATGTGTGCTGACTGGGTAATAATTGATAGCTTTACTTTACACATCATAGGCATAACGAAGTCTATGGGGTCGTCCATAAATGACGTCACACTCGTAGGGGGGAGGGGGGTCCGTAATTTTGTGATGGTGTGTGATGAGGGGGGGGGGGGGGTCTGATGGTGGGATGTCACACTTTTGCATTATAAAACAGCAATGTTAGAAAATGAATTTTAGCCATTATTTCATGTTTTAGTAAACTGTTTTAATAAATTGTAATAGGAATTGATTAAAATACTCTATGTTGAGAGAGTTCAGACAAGATTTTGGAAAAATATTGATGTTTTAAGAAAAATTCAACTGCAATTTTGAGGGGGATTGTCGACTGAGGTTCGACATCATTTTAGGGAGGGGGCCTGGCTTTTTGTGACGATGTGTGGCGGAGGGGAGGGTGAGGTAAAAATCGTCAAAATAGCTTGAAGTCATTTATGGATGACCCCTATTTTAATTTATTAATAAATATTATTAATTGTAGGCCTATATCTCTACCATTATAAGTAGGCTTATATTAGACATTACTTTATTTTATAGTAAATACTAGTAATTAGTTTTGATTATTTTTTAATTATGTAGTTGAATCTGACCCTCACCAAGAAATAACTCTTAAAATGATTGGAGTCATTTATTAAAACTAAGTGCCTTTCACAAAAAGTGTTTCACATTAATTCTTTTACCAACCTCCCCCCACCCCTCGGATGTTAACACTCTAAATCCATAAGAATGTAAGCAATTACTTGATTGTTACCTGCATTTCTGTATTAACGAACTATATCTGTCTAAAAAAGAAAAATGCCAGAGCGAGAGGATGACCACCTCACTCCTGCCACACGGTTACTTGAGAAAAGAAGAGAAATGGCTGAGGTAGAGCAAGCACTTGCAGCTCAGAAAGAGGTAAATAATAATGTTGTATTGTGTATAGTATTGTGTATGAGCTTGGCTTTTGGTAAAACCATGACATATATTCCAGTGTGCTAGTGAGGGGAGATAATACTTTTAGTGCATGAAATTATGAACTAAAATTCAGTATTGCAGACCACAGCTAAATGCATTTATGATGGAATTGATTTAAAATTAATGTTAAGATTAAGGGAAGGTTGGGAACCATGAAATTATAAATAGATTAGAAGTACTAAAAAAACATTAGCAATAATGCTGAGATTTGTTTGATATTGTTTAAAAACTTGTTTTTGCCAGTTAGCTTAAAAGCAAATTATCCTTTCAAGATCGAAAACTTTGTACTGGTATTAATAATTTGTATTTGAAGATATTACAACAGTAAGAGAAGCTGAATGGTTTTACAAGATGGCTCCATAGTCTAATAATTTTTCTTTGGAACCACAAAGTCTGGGCAGTAAGATGAGAAGAGCCAGATGTTTTTATGTTAACACAGAAAGATCTTTATATTAATTACAGGAGTTTCAAATGAAAATGGAAAGTTTACAACAAAGGCGAGAAGAGTTGGAAAGGAAAGAGTTTCAATTGAAAGAGTCTTTACTGAAGTTTGACAAATTTCTAAAGGTATTATATATGATTTAATAATTTTTTGTTGTAATACCCTGGACGTAAAAAGTACTATGACTACCCAGATCCAAATAATCAAAAAGTTAAAGATAAGTGATTGAAAATTTTATTGAACAATTTTTTTCCCCTCCATTTCTTATTTTTTTAGGAAAATGATTCTAAAAGAGCAAGAGCTGTTAAAAAAGCTAATGATGAAAGGGAATTGAAGAAGCAAAAAGACAAAGAAATTGATAGGTTTTGTTTATATTTTACACATATTTTTAGTTTACTACCTTTTTTAAATAATTTACTTATTTTTATAGAACAGCCTATTCTTATTTTTTAAAAATTAGAAAAACATACAAGTAAGTTTTTGAGTGTCATAATTTATCAAGTTTTTTAAACAAAAAGCCAGAGTTAAATACCTATGGCTATTTGCCTATTACAAAATTATATTACAAAAAGATGCAATGCATTTTTGTCCCAATTTGACAAAAAAATTATGTTATTTAATAAGATTACAAAACACAAGATTTTTGAATACATCACTTTTATACAATAATTTTCTCACACTATGTTTAGCTGTTGAATATTTCAGTTTGATGAATTTTTAAAATTTACAGAGTGAAAGAAGAGACAGATGCTCAGCAGAGGGAAAAAGAAATGTTACAAAAGAAGTTGGATAAGTACACAATATTTCATACCTACATGGACAAAGTTTTGGAGGCAGGGGAAGATTTCCATGAGATTCGTGACATCATCACTCGATGGGACACTTTAACAGCAACCCATATGGTTAGATGTTATCATTTTCTATTTTTTATGCTACAAAATGGTGTTGTCAACATTTGAAGTCACACTCCTGAAGTGGTGTGTAGCTAGAGAATTCTTAAGATATATAATCAAATGGGGGGGGGGGGGGGTGTAAATGTTAAGAAAGTGTTGTGTTACACTTTTTCATTTAAAAATCTACTTTTCAAACTGGACTTGTGCAGTTTTCACATTTTTTAGATAATTTTAAATTGTAATAAAAATTGACTGATCTATCTAATCAGATGGTTTTTTTTTTGTAAAGAAATTACTGTTTCAAAAAATATATTTTTCACTTGCATTTAATTAAACTTTAAAGAAGAAACACATGTAGAAATCATGTACTAGGATAAATATGTGTCTAGCTATAGAAAAAGTAGTCTTATAGGTCATAAAATGCTGAAAATTATATCTCAATGTTTCAAAAGCTTTATGTATTGCTTTGATTTTAGATAAGTTGTTAAAAATATTTATTTAAATTTGATATCAGAAAAAAATAGCAATTATAATAAATTAGAATGTGATTCCCAAGACACATTTTAAAATTTTTCTCTCAGGACTTGCTTGAGAGGGACCAGAAGAATCACGACAGAATAGAGAAACAGAAGCAGAATCTAATGAAGTACATGGAAGAGAAAGAAAACCAAGTTCTTAATTACAACAATCAGCTGTCTACATTGCAAACCAGACTGGACGCCGCCCAGAGTGATGCAGTCAAGTGGGAGAGCAAGTGGACACATATAAAAAATACAGCAGCAACAAAAACTCTTCTGCTTGGGAGAATTAAGATGTAAGTCATTTCAATGGATGTCGTGTGATATGCCAAAATCATGGGGTGCCTCCCACAGATGAACTGGTTAGTACTGTTGCACAATCTTAAGTGCCTCTGTAGGCCAGTGTGGGAGCATGTAGCCATATTTGCTTTTATACCCTACTCTTCTTGTCTTTAGACAGCAGGCACATTTTCAGTGGATTTGAGGCATATAATAGAATATATTTATTATATAGTGTCGTCCTAAAATGTTTTCTAATTCACCTACAGGGCGACACATAACTTATATCAACTGGTTCGCAGTCATCAAAATCAGCTGGATGATGTTGAGGACACAACAGAGCAACTAACACAGGTGGGCCTGAGGCTGGGCATGCCATCAGTTTCTTTATTCCTGTTGTAATTGAAATTGTTAAAAACATGAATTCAGGGCATGCCATCCAACAGTTTAATATTGTTAACTTTAAATCTTGCTTTTTAAAAACTTAAATTCAGGGCATGCCATCAAACAGTTGTATATTTCCTGTTTATTTAAGTCTTTCTTGTTAAAAAACATGAATGAATAATTGTTTTCTATTTCAGATTCAACTTTTTGTGCAAGACTTGAATCAAATCACCTCTGAAATAAAAAAGATGGAACATTCAGGGACATCCTATGTTGCATCTTCCTCTACTTAATGTCATAAATATTTATACCAAATTGTTGATGTATGCATGTTTATGTGGTTAAAAGTGGTATCTTTAATTTGTGAATTAACTTTTTCTTGTAAGAATTAAATAGGCATAGAATTATAAGCTATATTTGTTAATCTCATTTGATCTACCTTTAAATTTTTTCCTATATTATATGAATTATATGACAATAAATTGTTACATCTGTCAAAATAGTTCATATCTATATAAAATGATTTTTCCTATCCTGTTTCCTGCTAGATTCTGTAAGTATTGTAATTTACTTAGTTTAATGGAAAGTTTTACAAGATTTTAGAGTGTTCTAGAAGTTTTCTAGCTTAAAGTGCTGCTACCAGAATGTTCTCTGCAGTGGCTTATTTACCCCATCATCCTCCCCTCTTATGCCACTAGCTAATGTTAATTAAGGAATCAAATCTAGTACATGTTGGCAGAAGAAGAATAAATATGTGTGTATTCATTGTTTAGATGTTATTTACAAACATTTGATGGAATTATGTTGTTGAAACATATTTTGTTGTTCTAATTCATAATGTAAATAATGCAACTTGTAAAGTTTATTTCATTTGTATATATATATATATATATATATATATATATATATATATATATATATATATATATATATGCATTAGCTAAAGTAATGATTGAAAGTTTGCCTCATGTATAACTCATGTAAAAATTAGCTGTTGCTGTTTGCGTATATCTGAGTAAGCTATGAATGTTTTCAAGCTTGTGCAATGTCTAGACAGTAGGACAAAACGAACGTGTACAAAAATCTCCTGTTTTATATCTACTGGCCTACACTGCTGACAATAAATATTGAAAAATCAATCAGCTTCTGCTTGATTTAATTATCATCACTTTCTGGCTGATTCAATTATCATCAGTTTCTGGTTGATGTAATTATGATCTATTAAAATTTTAAATAAAATTCAGTAAAAAATTGAATAATAAAATTAAATAAAATTGTATGGGGTAGGGGTTGAAAAAGTTATCAAATTTGTATGTTATGTCCATGATCCTGTTGTGTACCATAGTGTTGATGCATAGTCAGCATCAACATACCCTGCCCGTGGTACAAGAAATATTTTATCTTCAGTCTTTTGTTTTTAGCCTTACACTGCAAAAAAATTCACATTATTAATTAATTACAGCAAAATCGCATGCATTATATGCCAAAATTTGATTCATTCTGCTAGCTCAAGAAAAAAACATAAGAAGTTAAAGAAGAAAGTTAACCGTTACTTATTTTCCTGTTAGAATATGCAGACTTATTTCCCTTGAATATTTTATTTTTTGTCTTATCTTTCCAATAGTTTAGTTACGAGTTAATTTTACTGCTATGGGTGAAGTAGAACTGATTTCATCTTTTATGGTAAAAACTTTGTGCACACCAAGTGTGGGTCGTTCTATTTTTAGCTGTTAGTTTTTAAATGAAGATACTTTTGTAGGGATAGCATTTTTAAATCTCACCCCCGGACATAAGTGTCAGATTTTCTAAACACACTACTACATTTTCCCCCTCCCCAACAATGGCCAAACATCTTGTATGAGCGCCATTACATCATCTATTTCCATACTTTCATTAGCTCGAGGGCCAGTGGCGTAGGCAGGGGGGGGTTAGGGGGGGTCATAACCCCCCCCCATAGACCCCTCGGTATATATAAAAAGTATGAGGGGGGGTGCAAATCGAAAGTTTGAGGGGGGGGGTGCAAATCGAAAGTTTGAGGGGGGGTGCAAATCGAAAGTTTGAGGGGGGGTGCAAATCGAAAGTTTGAGGGGGGGGTGCAAATCGAAAGTTTGAGGGGGGGGTGCAAATCGAAAGTTTGAGGGGGGGGGGGTGCAAATCGAAAGTTTGTCCCCGGGTAAAAATTGGAACCCCCCCCTTGAGACGATCCTGGCTACGCCACTGTCGAGGGCCAAATATTTCCAAGTTTGGGAACATCTTAACGGCAAATTTACCGGACAGATCCTTGAGGTGACACATCGCTACAGCCTGGCACATTAGCGAGCCAGGCAAGGAAAAGATAACTAGCACTCCATGATTGGCCGAAATTCTCTCCCCTTGACAGCTGTGTGATTTGTTTCATGGAGACCAGCAGTAGAGAAACAGCTGAGAGCCATCGTGTTAGGTCGATTCGTTAGTTTGGTGACAACACTGGATTAAGGAAGTTTAGGCTGAAAACCTCTACAGCCTGCCTCACACTGGTGGGGGAGATAAAACAACAGATCCTCACTGACATTCATTTTTACTGTGGGTTTCTTCTTTATATATATATATATATATATATATATATATATATATATATATATATATATATATATATATATATATATATATATATATATATATACACAATCAAGAAACCCACACCAACAAAAAGACCCAGAAATATATTTGTGTGTGAATGTTTATCAGGTCACGATATGTCACAATGTAATTCCTCATCGTTCACGTAAATATATTTTATCAATCTCTGGGCTCACGTAAATATATTTTAACAATCTCTGGAACCACTCCACACTCCCCTCCACCCCCAGCACCTCGTTATCTCGAGCACATTGGCAATCATTGAATCAACTAATGTACACCAGGCGTATGTTGATGTCTGCACTCGTCTCTCACACATGCTGATGTCTGAAACAGTGTTTCTTCCGCCACCCCCCCCCCCCCCCACCCCGACGAGATGCCTGGAAGGAACTCTGGTCTGAAATCAACATGTATTAAACAAAAATCCTATATTTTACTACTATTTTGGATCTCCATGCACAGATGTGCAACAAGATTTTTTTCTTTCTTTAGTAAATTGATGTAAAAAATAGTAAAATATTGTGGGAAATTATTGTTGCTACAAAAATTGATTTATCAAAGTAAGCCAGTAGGATAGATTTACACTATCAAGTTTTCTGGTGAATGTAACTTCTCTCGTGGTCCATTCAAGATGTAAGCCCAATGTATACATTGATGTTTTATACTTGATAGTCCACTCACTTTTAATGCCATCCCATTTCTTTTAGTGCTCACCACAGCGTGACTGTTTGAATAATTCAAGCATTAAATGTTACAGCCGGGTGTACCGTCAGCTGTCACGGTTCATTGGGCACAACAAAAACAAACCTATTAATGCTGACGTCACGACGATTCGAATGGTTGGCCAGGACGTGGGTAGAAATTGTGGTCGTGGTGGGGGGCAGGATTTGGTAGGCCTATGGAAAATGACTTTTGGCCAGTAAAATCGAAATGTGCGTGAAAAATAAAATGGTTCCTGTGAATATTCGATTCTCTCCCCCCCCCCACCCAAACATGGACCTCTACGACCTACGACCTATTCATAAACTTTTTTAAAACCCTGGTCTATAGAAGCAAAGAAGTGCTCTTGTTAATCAGTGTCTAACCCTTAGCTCCCGAAGTTAATTAGTGTCTAACCCTAAGCTCCTGAAGTTAATAATTGTTTAACCCTTAGCTTCTGACCCTTAGCTCCTGACCTCTAAATCCCCGTTTCCCCGAGTTCCTGTGGTAAATGTACAAAAGACTTTTGATAATTTTAAGGAACAGTTCTACACGAGTTCATCGCCAGCCAGTAGTTCAGTATTGAGTCCTGCCAGTAGGTAGACCATTCTGTCAGACACAGGTAAGTGCAGTGGCGTAGGCAAGGGAGGGGGTTTGGGGGGTTATAACCCTTCCCATGGATTCACACCCCTATATATATATATATATATATATATATATATATATATATATATATATATATATATATATATATATATATGATTTTATAAATATGGAAAAATATTTGAACCCCTCCCATGACCAATTCCTGGATACGCCATTGGGTAAGTGTGATCTGTAGTGGAATACCGATTTTTTCATTTCAACCCGTCTTTTCATCGAAAATTGCATGGAAGAAACGTAACAATAAATTTGTTTGTAGCAAATAGTACTAGCGTCGCCCTTTTTAATCGCATTTTTATGTACGGACCGTCGATCTGAGACCGCCGATCTGGGGTAAACAGGTTTACTCTACTTCACCTGGGTCATGGACCGTAATGTGCGAAGAGGTGCTTGGTAAACAGCAAGAGTACATGTTCGAAGATTTAAACTACACATTTGGTAAACAGTCAAGGTACAGTGAATGTTAAAATGTCATGGTTTAGCATTCAGGGAACATGTTCGAATGTCGAAACAACTTGACAAACAGCTAGAAAACAAGCAAGAAGATTCAAACAACACACTTTATAAGCAGTCAATGAACACGTTCGAAGACTGAAGCTACGCGGTTGGTATGCAGTCATGGAACAAGTTCGAAGGTTGAAGCAACACAGTTGTCATACAGTCAAGGAACAAGTTCGAAGACTGAAGCAACACGGTTGGTATGCAGTCATGGAACAAGTTCGAAGACTGAAGCAACACGGTTGGTATGCAATCAGGGAACACTAGGACGGTTCAAGAAAAACCATAAAGCGGCGCCGTTATCAGCAATCGAGCGCAATGAATGTGAAACTCGACACGATTCGACAGCCTTATCGATCAATAGCTAATCAAAATAAGGCTTACAAACCGCGTCGTTTACAGGTACGCGTCCCTTGCGACGGCCGGTCAAAGGTGACGCCAGTCATATGTTGTCATGTGCGATACTGCGTGTGTTCGCCTGTGTGTTGTTGCTGTGGGGGGCTGCCTAATTGACGTGTGCTAATGACGACATACGCCTGTGTTGCCAGCTGAACTTAGACTTAAGTGGTCCCAGATATTTCATTCTGGGGGGTAGTTGGTGCATTTGTTCTCAGACCAGGTGATACAAACTTGGATTAAAGTTTACAACTATTGGATACTGGGGGAGGGAATGTTCAGTGGTCTGGAGGAAAATTAATGGAAAATTCCTTTTGTGTTTTTTTTATTACACAATAAGAAACGGATTAATTTTTAACGTGTGACGTATAACCCACAGGTAATTAAAAACAGGCTTATAGTTGTAGAAATACTTAAACTTTGTGTTTCTTTTATTTAACTTTTCGTGAAAACACGAAGTTTGCTGATTTCTACTGTGAAAGGATTGAGTGTTAAACTATTTAATCATAATTTCATTTATAGCGTTGTCAGCGGTTCAGAATCTTGGTCGATGTTGATAGCTCCAGGCTGACAGAGTTACTCCAGAAGTCACACACAGGTGTTGTGTTGAGTGTTGATACAGGTGTTGTGTTGAGTGTTGATAGGGTCACTCGATGGGAAGTTGATCAACAGTGATTTGGGTCAGAGAGTCGCCATGTTTGTTATTGTCAAGTTTGGAAACAACGAGAGCCTATTGGTCAACCCGAGCTGCGCGGTCATCAATCTGCTGACCAGCATCAAACGACGAGCAGGCTTTGCCAACACCAACAAAACCATCGACCTGTCGGATGAGAATGGTAAATATCCAACCACACATGGCCACTGGGAAATATCCAACCACCCATGGCCACTTGTCAATATCCACCTACCCATGGCCACTGGGAAATATCCAACCACCCATGGCCACTTGTCAATATCCACCCACCCATGGCCACTGGGAAATATCCAACCACCCATGGCCACTGGGAAATATCCAACCATCCATGTCCACTGGGAAATATCCACCCACCCATGGCCACTGGGAAATATCCAACCACCCATGGCCACTGGGAAATATCCACCCATCCATGGCCACTGGGAAATATCCAACCACACATGGCCACTGGTCAATATCCACCCATCCATGGCCACTGGGAAATATCCAACCACCCATGGCCACTGGGAAATATCCACCCATCCATGGCCACTGGGAAATATCCAACCACACATGGCCACTGGTCAATATCCACCCATCCATGGTCACTGGGAAATATCCAACCACCCTTGGCCACTGGTCAATACCCAATCACCCATGGCCACTGGGAAATATCCAACCACCCTTGGCCACTGGTCAATACCCAATCACCCATGGCCACTGGGAAATATCCAACCACACATGGCCACTGGGAAATATCCAACCACCCATGGCCACTTGTCAATATTCACCCACCCATGGTCACTGGGAAATATCCAACCACACATGGCCACTGGTCAATATCCACCCATCCATGTCCACTGGGAAATATCCACCCACCCATTGCCACTGGGAAATATCCACCCACCCATGGTCACTGGGAAATATCCAACCACACATGGCCACTGGTCAATATCCATCCATCCATGTCCACTGGGAAATATCCAACCACCCATGGCCACTGGGAAATATCCAACCACCCATGGTCACTGGGAAATATCCAACCACCCATGGTCACTGGGAAATATCCAACCACCCTTGGCCACTGGGAAATATCCAACCACCCATGGCCACTGGTCAATACCCAACCACCCATGGCCACTGGGAAATATCCAACCACCCATGGCCACTGGGAAATATCCAACCACCCATGGTCACTGGGAAATATCCAACCACCCATGGTCACTGGGAAATATCCAACCACCCATGGTCACTGGGAAATATCCAACCACCCATGGCCACTGGTCAATACCCAACCACCCGTGTCCCCTGGTCAATATCCACCCATCCATGTCCAATGGTAAATATTCACCCACTCATGTCCCCTATTAAATATCCACCAATGTCCCCATACGTTTGTAGCTCTGGTTTATTATTGAAGCCCTTACCAATAGTTGACCAAACGTGACCAAAGACTTTAATTTTATTTAGTTTAGTTAGCTAGCTAATGTCTGTGCTAATGTGTGTAGTAGACTAGAGACAATTTAGGCCTTGTCTGTGTTTAATGTGTGTTGTAGACTAGACACATGTGTAGTAGACTAAACACAATCATTGTCCTTGTCTGTGTTTAACATGTGTAGTAGACTAAACACAATCATAGTTTTTGTCTGTCAGTCTTCCATTATCCGCCACCTACACAACGACATTGTTTGTGGCCATTTTGGCCTGTAGTCACGTGATTAAGCCATGCTAGATCTCGCCATTGTTTACAGTTTCTCGTCAGTACAGTTCCTACTTTTGTCTGTAACTGTAAACGTTATTTAAGCCTCCGCTACTTGAATCAACAAACAAGATTGTCTTTTACACTGAGCTTGCGGCTAGACTGAAATTGTACAACCATTTTGTCTACTACCACACCTATATCGGCTGTTGAATTCTGTCTTCTAATTGTAAAAAGAAGGGAATCGTCTCAAAATGTTCAGCCACTCGTCTTGTTCTGGTCGAGGTTAGAACTTACGACCTCCCCGTAATTTCTTATTCAAGTCTCACACTTCCTGTTGAAACCCTAGTTCAGTAAAGAAGCTATCTACGTCACAAGACAGATATAGCGCTGTATACAGTTGGTTGGTGTGTTCAGTGTTACAACCCAAGTTCGTTAAAGAAACTATATATGTCGTGTTTCAGATTTAGCGGTGTTGTCAGTTAAAGCCTCCATTTCCCTGCTCCATTCAAGTGTTTCAAGACGTCATCGTAAAAAAAGTTTTCGTGCAGTTCTCGATACAGCATTACGACCTACATCAAATCGTCGATCGTATTGATTCGTGTATTTGGCTTCTTTATTCACGTGACATTATTATGGTTGAGTTCGATTTTGACAGCTCGTGCCAACATTCACCTGGCCAGGGTTGAATGAATGGCGGCGTTGTAGAGTGTGGAGTAACCTGGAGAGGTGGAGGTTTTATACAACGACATCTACCAACTTAATACAACATCTACCAACTTTATACAACAACATCTACCAACTTAATACAACATCTAACAACTTTTTACAACAACATCTACCAACTTTATACAACAACATCTACCAACGTTATACAACAACATCTACCAACTTTATACTATCTCTACCAACTTTATCATGTACCAACGTTATACTATACCAACTTTATACAACATCTACCAACTTTATACAACAACATCCACCAACATTATACGACAACATCTACCAACTTTATACAACAACACCTACGAGCTTTATACAACAACATGTACCAACTTTATACTTCAACGTCTACCGATTTTATACAACATCTACCAGTTTTATAAAATAACACCTATCAACTTGATATAACATCTACTTGCAGTATACAACAAATCATCTGTTTTGAACATCAGCCCTAAATAAATAAAATATCTAACTACATTGACAATTAGATATTTTTGCGTCACAATTACTTAGAACGCGTGAAGCAAACAAGCACAAAGTGTGATTAAAAAAAAATCTTGTTATATAAATAATGTAGTTTCGAATGTCAACCCTGTAATAGTTTTCTTCTAAAAACTACATTAGTATTGTTTAATATCTGAACCCTAAAACTAAGTTATTGAAACACAAACGATATAGACTACTTGTTGCCGGAAAAGTTAACAAAAATGTTGGATGCCTTCTCTTGCCGCACGTATCATGCATTGGGGGGGGGGGGGGGGGGGGGAAGGGAGTCTTGATGTTATTTAATATAATCAGTAAATTTACTTTTACGATCGTTAGGTCGTTAGGGGAAGAATCTCATCCATACAAAAACTTTAAAATAGGTGTCGTGTAATGTGAAGTATACACATTTCACGCGAAGTATAAACATTTCTGTCACGTCTATCTGTGGGTAAAACCTCGATTTTGTCACGTCTATTCGATGGTAAAACCTCGACATGGGTCAAATGTGGTGGGGTAAAGGATCAAAGAGACCATCGAATCCTAGGCAAACACGCTTTTTGTGAGATTTGATTACAGCAGACCTACGGCAGACGGCAAGATTAGGATTAGGAATTAAGTCAGGATTAATTCTAGTCCACACCCTTCACGTTTGTCGCACGTGTTTATTTGAAAGCTCAGAATAAACTAATTCAAAGTTTAGAATTTTGGTCACATTTAAGTAGGCTTACATTTTGTTTGAACAGTCGGTGGTTTTGTGTACAAATCACGACCACGTCTATGGTATTGTGTACACGTCATTGGTATTGTGTACACGTCATGACCACGTCTATGGTATTGTGTAGGCCTACACGTCATGACCACGTCTATGGTATTGTGTACACGTCATGACCACGTCTATGGTATTGTGTACACGTCACAGCCACGTCTATGGTATTGTGTACACGTCATGACCACGTCTATGGTATTGTGTACACGTCATGACCACGTCTATGGTATTGTGTACACGTCATGACCACGTCTATGGTATTGTGTACACGTCATGATCACGTCTATGGTATTGTGTACACGTCATGACCACGTCTATGGTATTGTGTGCACGTCATGACCACGTCTATGGTATTGTGTACACGTCATGACCACGTCTATGGTATTGTGTACACGTCATGACCACGTCTATGGTATTGTGTACACGTCATGACCACGTCTATGGTATTGTGTACACGTCATGACCACGTCTATGGTATTGTGTACACGTCATGACCACGTCTATGGTATTGTGTACACGTCATGACCACGTCTATGGTATTGTGTGCACGTCATGACCACGTCTATGGTATTGTGTACACGTCATTACCACGTCTATGGTATTGTGTACACGTCATGACCACGTCTATGGTGTTGTGTACACGTCATGACCACGTCTATGGTATTGTGTACACGTCACAGCCACGTCTATGGTATTGTGTACACGTCATGACCACGTCTATGGTATTGTGTACACGTCATGACCACGTCTATGGTATTGTGTACACGTCATGACCACGTCTATGGTATTGTGTACACGTCATGATCACGTCTATGGTATTGTGTACACGTCATGACCACGTCTATGGTATTGTGTGCACGTCATGGCCACGTCTATGGTATTGTGTACACGTCATGACCACGTCTATGGTATTGTGTACACGTCATGACCACGTCTATGGTGTTGTGTACACGTCATGACCACGTCTATGGTATTGTGTACACGTCATGACTAGGTATATGGTATTGTGTACACGTCATTACCACGTCTATGGTATTGTGTACACGTCATGATCACGTCTATGGAATTTTGACACGTCATGACCACGTCTATGGTATTGTGTACACGTCATGATCACGTCTATGGTATTGTGTACACGTCATGATCACGTCTATGGTATTGTGTACACGTCATGATCACGTCTATGGTATTGTGTACACGTCATGATCACGTCTATGGTATTGTGTACACGTCACAGCCACGTCTATGGTATTGTGTACACGACCACAGAAAACGCTGGACCACACAACACAATGAAACCTTGAATCCGACCGAGGTGGCTTTTAAAAATCTAACCAATCAATAACCATTATCTATCGATTATGTTCGACTGCTATGTCGATTGCGCATTTCAGATAGGAAATATAACTTTTTTTTTTAATCTAAAAGAAATAGATGACGTCACTAGATATCACTCCCCACAATCTTTCCCGTCAAAATAAATTGTTTTAGTGGTCAATCAGGTTTTTTAAACGGTGGAATCGGATTTTTAGACATTTTTAGCGCTGCATTTTTTAAAAGCTTGCTATGTGATAATTCTATTAACACCGGAAATTTAAAAAAATAAAAAATAAAATAATTTACGTTAATTTCAAAGAGTATTGTAAAATGCACACCACCCATCTTCTTAGATAATATATTAGGTAATATACTCCATCCACACCCCAAATCTTGTAATATAAAGAGCACCCGCACTATGCAGGGATAATTTCTAGGCTCCCCATGACTTGAGTACTCCCGGTTCGATAAGCTGCTAAGGTAAATATTGATTGGGTAATCGATGATCTATTTAATGCTTTATAATTACCAGATTAAATTAAATGGGGGATCGTGGGGGGGGGGGGAGATTTATGATTGCTGGCGGTATTGATATTGTGCTCTCATGGACGTGAACACATTGACTCCAGTATATAGCTATACAAAATCTTTTGGCACCAAAAAAATCAACACACACACATATACACTTATACACAATAACACACACGACACTAACACATACACATCAAGCATTTATAAGCACTGAAGACAAACACACGAATAGACACATATACACATTCACACATTGACAGTAGCACATATAAACATTGACAGTAGCACATATATACATTGAGTAGCACATTGCCATCCAACATCTACAGACTCTAGGGACAACAGTAGAACTACAGCAGCATCTCTCATTTAGAAAATGTTGATGGATAGTTTTACTGACACAGACAGTCACACTAATCTCACATTGCTGACTGTCTCTACAGCCACACCACTGTGTCACATTACTTTTCGATGTTCCTTGATCAGCGATCGAAAATATATCGATTATTTAAATGTCAACTCCTGTCAAGTCGGTATTGTCTAAAAAAGTGTGTATGTCTAGAAGTCAGTTTCTAAATTTGAAATCCCATTTTTTCCTGTCCTGTCCCAGGTCTGGTTAAAGAGTTGGACGTCCACAAATTTGAAAACGCCAATAAGTATCTGACGTCACATGAGACCTACATCCTAGTGCAGAAGGTAAGCTGGTCAGGTATATATATATATATATATATATATATATATATATATATATATATATATATGTGTGTGTGTGTGTGTGTGTGTGTGTGTGTGTGTGTGTGTGTATATATATAGATCATAATTCGTTGTCCCTGAAAGCCATACGTTACAAAGCTGTGTTGATCCTATTAGCCAAATCCAAAGTGTTTATTTGAACCAAAGAAAGATTAGTCTTAAAGAATGTAGGGTTGGGTTTAAAACCCTTTGAACCCGTGGCAGTATAGGTGTAAATCGGCCCGGGTCTAATGGCTGAACAAGCACTTGCCCTTGTCTAGTGGGGTAGAGCAAACATATTGATTTCACCGGGGTCTACCTTACCTGAGACCCATGGTCTTCCTTGTAGACTGCCAGGAGGGGGGCGGGGGAACTCCATTCACTGGTTCTACTAGTGGCTAAAATGTCTCGGCAAATGCTACAGCTGGATTTTAAAACTTGTTGTCGTTACTTGTTTTGTTGTGTCATGGTTCAATTGTTGAGTTGTGTCATGGTTCACTGGTTTTGTTGTGTCATGGTTCACTTGTTGTGTTGTGTCATGGTTCACTTGTTTTGTTTTGTTGTGTCATGGTTCACTTGTTGTGTTGTGTCATGGTTCACTTGTTTTGTTGTGTCATGGTTCACTTGTTGTGTCATGGTTCACTTGTTTTGTTGTGTCATGGTTCACTTGTTGTGTCATGGTTCACTTGTTGTGTCATGGTTCACTTGTTTTGTTGTGTCATGGTTCAATTGTTGTGTTGTGTCATGGTTCACTTGTTGTGTCATGGTTCACTTGTTTTGTTGTGTCATGGTTCACTTGTTGTGTCATGGTTCACTTGTTGTGTCATGGTTCACTTGTTTTGTTGTGTCATGGTTCACTTGTTGTGTCATGGTTCACTTGTTTTGTTGTGTCATGGTTCACTTGTTTTGTTGTGTCATGGTTCAATTGTTGAGTTGTGTCATGGTTCACTTGTTTTGTTGTGTCATGGTTCACTTGTTTTGTTGTGTCATGGTTCACTTGTTTTGTTGTGTCATGGTTCACTTGTTTTGTTGTGTCATGGTTCACTTGTTTTGTTGTGTCATGGTTCACTTGTTTTGTTGTGTCATGGTTCACTGGTTTTGTTGTGTCATGGTTCACTTGTTGTGTCATGGTTCACTTGTTGTGTCATGGTTCACTTGTTTTGTTGTGTCATGGTTCACTTGTTTTGTTGTGTCATGGTTCAATTGTTGAGTTGTGTCATGGTTCACTTGTTTTGTTGTGTCATGGTTCACTTGTTTTGTTGTGTCATGGTTCATCTGTTTTTGTCGTTGTATTGACTTTTGTATTTATCGTGGTGTTAACTTTTGTTTTTATCGTGGTGTGTTATTTTTTGTTTTTATCGTGGTGTGTTAACTTTTGTTTTTATCGTGGTGTGTTAACTTTTGTTTTTATCGTGGTGTGTTAACTTTTGTTTTTATCGTAGTGTGTTAACTTTTGTTTTTATCGTGGTGTGTTAACTTTTGTTTTTATCGTGGTGTGTTAACTTTTGTTTTTATCGTGGTGTGTTACTTTGAGTTCAAATGTTGTTGCAGGAGCTGATGATGGAGGATGGCGAGACGACCACACAGTACACATATGTGCCTCTCTTAGACAGGTGATGCAGACTCTGTTACACACGTTGTCATATGACTACACATACACCATTACATGCTTACACCTTTACACACATACATCATTGCACAAGTACACAATTGCACAATATACTATTACAGACGATCGTACACATACACCATTTCACACATTAACCCTCATAGGCCCAAATTATGTTGCAACGGTAGGAAAAATATTTCATTTGGTGTACATGCATACTTTTAGGATAGAAATCAATATCAATCATAAAAAAATTACAATTTTGACCGTGACCTACTTTTCCAATTTGTTCCACTGGTGACCCACTGGGCTTTAGAGGTTATGAAAATACAATTATTCTTACACATAAATATTTAAAATGATACATTTGTTTTAAACTTTATAATACTTTATTTTAATTTTGAACATTTCAATCATTCATGAGCTAAAATGAAACTCCCTGAAGCAGTTTCTTTTCTCTGTGAAACAAAGAAAAACATTACACTTTTCACAAACATTTTTTGTTTTAAGGCTGCACAATCTGCATCGTTGGTGATTGTCATTTTTTATTATAAAATGATTGTAGCCATCTGTTGCTATTTGTGGATTGGGCAGAAGTGTTTGCAGTCGTCTTCTTTTTACAAGGCTTTCTTTACTGCACTCTGCAGATGGCCGCCCCCGTTTCCTTTCACTGGAATTTTCAAACTGAATAAGAAGTGTTGCTAGCCTGGCTTGAAATTTTCGCTGGTTCATTGTGTCCCGTTTTGAATATCCAAGCAGACCAGTGACACGACGATAAGAAAGCCAGGCATTCACAAGCATCATTCTAATGGTCTGCCAAAAAATGTACATGTACCACCGCTTGGACTTGATGCGGTAGGAATTTTTGGCCACACAACAGTCATGAAGGTCTACCCCTCCCATGTTTTCATTGTACAGTTTTATAACTGCTGGCCTCTGTACTGGGACATACATTGATTTGGATTTTTCAAATCGACTAACTGGATTTCTGGGATCTGTACCAGAGAATGTAGATAGTACATTGACAGCTCTTGTGTCGTACCAACGAACAGCGACTATTTTAGTGTTTTTTTCTATGGACTGGTCCATAATACCACGGCCTTTTTTCTTCATTTCAGCCTCATTCTGAAGATTGATTCCTGGTATACAGTTAGGTCTGACTGTGCCTGTATAATGAATACCTAGCTTCTGCAATTCAACTAAAAGAGCCATACCTGTAAAAAAGTTATCTGCATAAATTTTATAATTGAATGAGGGTTGTCCAGGTACATTTTGTGGCAAAGATGAACACAGCTTTAAAATTACATCCGCACCAACACCAAGCAAACTTCGTTCTTTTCTCTCTTTATTGCCTTGATAGACATCAAAGTCACACACTATACCAGTAGCACTAGCTCTAACCCATACCTTGATGCCCCAAGGATGTGGCTTTCCTTTTACATATTGCTTTATTTTGCTAAATTTACCTTTGAAAGGTATCATCATTTCGTCTATGCTGTTATTTTCATCTGGGACAACTTTCACACAATTGTTTCGGAATTTTTCAAGCCATGGCCTGATTTTCCATAGTTTATCTTTTTTATCTTCCTCAGTCACCCTATTATTATCTACAATATAAATGACTCTCATAAGAAGCTGAAAGCGATTCCTGCTCATGGTACTGGCCACAGGATCATACCTAGTGTCATTTTCCCAATAACATCGGGTACCAGGCATTTTTGCTAAACCCATTCTAAAAAAAATGCCTAACAGTTGCTTCATTTCTTTTTTGGTCGTGTCCACAGACTTGCCAGTTTTCTCCACACTGTATTGATTAGTCATTTCAACTAGAAGATCTAACATGTCCTCAGTCAAAAATTCTTCAAAGAACTGCAGAGGAGATGGCAGTTCATAATGGTCTGGAAGTTGCAGCTTTTCACCTCTGAAGATGACATCCGGTGGCTCAAATGTTGTTTTGTGCCAATGATATGTTTTTTTTTTGTTTTAACTGACTCTGGAGTTTCTAGCAACTCATTCTCATCTGAGTCTGGTGTATCTGCAACACCAGCTATTTCTTCATTGTCATAATCATTTGCTAAGGTGTATAATTCATCTTCATCATCAGTGGATGATACATCATCTTCTAAGTCGCTTTCATTATGGTTAATAGTATCTAAAATGTTCAATACTTCACTTGTAGTGTAGAACGTCTTGGAGGAATGTGCCATTCTGTTAAGGGGATAGGCTCCCGAAAAAAACGGAGAAAAAAACTTTTTAAGTAATACGCCTTTTTCATTTATTTGTGTATGTATAAGTTAGGGTACTTAAGGAAAAATATTTGGATGTACCAGGGACTCTTCTGAAAATATGGTTGCCATGGAAACGGCGGCCATCTTGGAAAAACTACCTTTTGTGGAGTTCTAAAATTTCCTAAAGTAACATATAAACCGCCCATATAATCATTGATCTTTATTGTACTAACACCAATAGAGTCAGCTGGCTAATTTCTGTAACCAAAAAACAGCTAGAAATATTTTTTTCAAATTTTCAAAAAAATATGTGGTGAAATTCCATTGAATTTAGCATTATTTTCATTGGAATTTCGTCACACCAAACTTTGAAAATTAAAAAAAAATATTTCTAGAGTGATTTCTGTTACAAAAACTAGCCAGCTGACTCTATTAGCGTTAGTACAAGAAGGATCAATGGTTATATAGCCGATATTTATGTTAGTTTATGAAATTTTAGAACTCCAGAAAATGATGTTTTTTTCAAGATGGCCGCCGTTGCCATGGCAACCATATTTTCAAAAAAGTCCCTGATGCATGGAAATATTTTCCTTCAAGTACCCTAAGTTGGATATACACAAATGAATCAATAAAAGGTTTTACTTAAGAAGTTGGTTTTTTCTGGAGCCTACCCCCTTAAGAAGAAATACAATAATTATTTACAATTTAAAAAAATACATTCAAATATTTAAAATAATCACTAGATCTTAGGTAGATCTAGAACTAACATTCTAGATGCCTAAATTGTGTAAATAAAACCATATCTTGCAAATGAATTAAATAAATATAAAATTTAATTGCTAAAAAATTAAAAATAAAACTATTTTTTTGTTTGCATAAATAAAACAACAAAAACCATATGACAATTTGGTTACATTGTGCACCAGTAACCATTAAAGCCCACTGGGTCACCAGTAACCCAAACAATTTTGAACGTCTAAAACTAAAAATTAGCCGTACTTTTTATTAATATTGACATTTAAAGTTGTTAATTAATATATTTTAAATTAAAATAAAACGTAAAAAGTATTTATAACTTACCTAAAATGATGTTTTTATTCTTCAAAAGCAAGTCGTGAATTGTATTTTTAAAGCTGCATGGGAGCCACCATTTGCAAAAGGGAAATGACTTAGTAATATTAAAAATAAGACAACAGAATTAACTCCCTTGTGTACCACAGTATGAACAATGGGCTTTAGAGGTAAAAAATATTTTAAAAATGCATTTTGTAAAAAAGTGTGAAGCTTTCAGCCAGGTGGGTAGCCGGTGGCCCGGTGGGCCTCAGAGGGTTAAACGCGTATGTATTACACACGTACACCATTATACAGTGCACTACTACACAATATAGTACAAATACATCATTAGACACATACAACATTACACAGTACCGCATTGCACAATACATTATTACACCAATACATCTTTACACAGTATAACATTACACACGTACACCATTACATATGTACACATTGTAATTCTTGTATCCATTGTAATACAATTATAGATCTAGATGTAGACATAAAGTTGAACCATGTTTACATGTGAATCTAGTTAGTGCAATTTTAAAAACACCAAGAAGGAAATGATTGGTTGTTGACAAACTCATGACGTGACCAGAGCTAGTTGTAAATGTTTGACTCGCTTCTTCTCCCCACAGATACACAGAACTCTTCCCAAATTTTAAAATCCACGTGCAGGATGTGCCAGATTTACGAAAAAAGTCACGTGTCCGGACGGGAACCAAATCCCCGAGCCCTGCCGGCAAGCTCATCGGGAGAACCGGGAAAAAAGAGGGCGTGGCTAAAAAGGCAACGAGAAGGAAATAAACCGGGAGAGTTTGAAAATAAAAGTTAAATGTCATGTAATCCTAACCAGCACTTGAACTAACCAATGTTACATTGTACATCAATTAACCAATGTTACATGGTACTTCACTTAACAGTGTGAGCTGTATCACACACATGTATCATCAGCTGTATTGCAGCATAGTTACTAGAGTTTTTTTTACCAACGTCACCACATCACATTAATAACCATTGTTAAGATAAATACATTGCAATGTTCACCAATACACATTTGGTAAACACAAAAACACCAGCCACAATAGGACACACACACAACACCATCCACCATAGGACACACACACCACCAGCCCCTGTATGACACACAACACCAGCCACCATAGTACTGACGGCCTGGTTATTTAACCCATTTACTTATCTCAGTTCACTATAACCTATTGTTACTGTGTGCACTATAACAAATGTGCTGGGCAGCTTAATTAAATTATGGTTTCAATGTTGTAGATCAATCTTTAAAAAGTTTCTTTAGTACAGGCCATGGGAGCAGTAGGGCATGGGAGCAGTAGGGCATGGGAGCAGTAGGGCATGAGAGCAGTAGGGCATGGGAGCAGTAGGGCATGGGAGCAGTAGGGCATGGGAGCAGTAGGGCATGGGAGCAGTAGGGCATGGGAGCAGAGGGCCATGGGAGCAGTAGGGCATGGGAGCAGTAGGGCATGGGAGCAGTAGGCATGGGAGCAGTAGGGCATGGGAGCAGTAGGCCATGGGAGCAGTAGGGCAGGGGAGCAGTAGGTCATGTGAGCAGTAGGCCATGGGAGCAGTAGGGCAGGGGAGCAGTAGGGCATGGGAGCAGTAGGTCATGGGAGCAGTAGGGCATCGGAGCAGCAGGGCATGGGAGCAGTAGGGCAGGGGAGCAGTAGGTCATGTGAGCAGTAGGCCATGGGAGCAGTAGGGCATGGGAGCAGTAGGTCATGGGAGCAGTAGGGCATGGGAGCAGTAGGGCATGGGAGCAGTAGGGCAGGGGAGCAGTAGGTCATGTGAGCAGTAGGCCATGGGAGCAGTAGGGCAGGGGAGCAGTAGGGCATGGGAGCAGTAGGTCATGGGAGCAGTAGGGCAGGGGAGCAGTAGGGCATGGGAGCAGTAGGGCAGGGGAGCAGTAGGGCATGGGAGCAGTAGGGCATGGGAGCAGTAGGCCAAGGGAGCAGTAGGGCATGGGAGCAGTAGGGCAGGGGAGCAGTAGGTCATGGGAGGCAATAAGAGCAGAAGGAAAAAACTAGTTTTCACTTTTAAAAAAGTTGAGAATTTATTGCGATACTGAAAATATTTTTTTAAATTACCAAACCATAGTCTGCTCCATCGTAAGTTATTAATAGCTTTAATCTGAAAGTGGCAACTCTAGTTCTTGTCTCAGTAAGCCCCCCCCCCCCCTTACGAAGCGAACGCTATTTTATTCTCAGCCTTTTAATTAAACATAATTTATATCAGCTGTTGGCAGTTTCATTTAATTTCCCTTCAACTTGAAAAACGTGTGATCCAATTTCTTAAAATCAGTCACCCGCTCCCCTCCCCGCCCCTCCTCCGCTCTCCCACAATCCAATTTGTGAAGAAGATTCGATCAAAGCTGTCCAGGGCCAGACTGCTGATACAGCAAACAGCTCTTCATAGAGCTGCCGCCTGTACAAACCTACACTTCTGATTGGTTCACACGGTCACGTGATAATGAAACACTAAAACCTTACATTCTAACAACACACCGTAGCTTTTTAAAATAAAATAAACAACAACACTTTATGTTTAACTTGGTAAAACGGAGTTGGGTCTAAATTTATTCTTAGATTTGAGGGAATATTGTCCTGTGCCGTGTTGATTGTCTGCGCTTGTTGTGAAAAATCAAATTTGTCTCGGAGATTGTCGGTCGTGCTAAAACATGCAAGTAGGTCATCAAGGGCATGTTACTCTTGATGATATTCGCCTGATTTGATTTTTCACTGTAAATACAAGAGATTTTCTCCAATATGTAAAAATGAACATGTTATTAAATAAATCATTTAGTTAAGTTGAATGTTTTTTTTTTTTATTTCCCCACACGAGACTGTTTTTAAACAGACGACAAAAGTAGCCTCAGGTCAAGGATCAAATGGTCACGGTTCGTGTAATGACCTTGGGACACCCTAGTTACCACCGTCAATACGAAAATATTCCCCAGCAACACACCACTAAATCTTTAGACTTTCCCTAGCAACGTGTTGCCCACAAATCTGCTTTCCCTAGCAACGTGTTGCCCACAAAGCTACTCTCCGTAGCAACGTTTTGCCCACAAATCTACTTTCCCTAGCAACGTGTTGCCCACAAATCTACTCTCCCTAGCAACGTGTTGCCCACAAATATACTTTCCCTAGCAACGTGTTGCCCACAAATCAACTTTCCCTAGCAACGTGTTGCCCATAAATCAACTTTCCCTAGCAACGTGTTGCCCACAAAGCTACTCTCCCTAGCAACGTGTTGCCCACAAATCTACTTTCCCTAGCAACGTGTTGCTTACAAATCTACTCTCCCTAGCAACGCGTTGCCCACAAATCTACTATCCCTAGCAACACACAGACCTTGATTAGTTCCACCAGTCGTGAGGATTCAGTTTCCTCTATCCCTACTAGATTATCGTGTCACGTGGTCTAGATGAAAGCAGCTGATTGGTCTGCGTGTCAGGTTTGGACGTCATTGATTGGTTGTTTGGGGCAGGAGGGTGACGCCTTGCCCTCAGGACCTTGGAACGGCAGATTAAGAAAAGGAGAACTGAAGAATTGACGCCTGTGTGAGTTAAATGTGGGCTGGTTGCTTCATGGAGTGTGTGTTTGTGTGTGTGTGTGTGGGGGGGGGGGGGGTGGTAGATGTGTGGTAATTGTGTTGGTGGTGGAGACTTCCTGTGATAGTTTGTAATGTCCTACTAATCTACTACTGCAGTGTGTAGTGTAAAGAAAAGAAAACACAGCGATAGTTGTCCAAATTACAAACGTATAGTAGATGGTGGTTTAACCTTAACCTTAGTTATATATATATATATATATATATATATATATATATATATATATATATATATATATATATATATATATATATATATATATATATATATATATATATATACGTATATATATATATATATATATATATATATATATATATATATATCAAATTGTGAGACTGTTGACCCCCATCCACCACTACACCCCAGATGACCCCCATCCACCACTCTACACCCCAGTTGACCACCTCCCAGCACTGAGTTAGACCACTGATTGTGAACGTCAAGATTTAGCCCCGGGCGCCCAGGACCGACAACTCAGTTGAGAGTGATAATTGGTAATCACGGATTACTTCCCTCCCCTTAATGTCGAGTTGAACGACTCTGATGGCGTTGTGTTAATGTCCTAGCGTTACGTCTGTAAACACAACACGCTAAAAACATCAAGTTTATTGTATCTACAATACTTCATATCACATCATGTGTTAGAGTGATCTATATCTAATTCAACGTTGAACATTTAATATCACTTGTGTTAATACAAATTTAATACAATAGCTAATACAAAAGTTGAAAAGTCATATTCGTTTGTATTAACCAGTGAAGTAAATAAATTATTCATCAATTAAATGTATTATTATATAAGCAAAGCCTAAATTATTATACACCGATATATATATATATATATATATATATATATATATATATATATATATATATATATATATATATATATATATATATATATATATATATATATATATATATATATATATATATATATATATATATAAAAAGATCTATATATTTAAATCAACAAACACAACCGTCCGAATTACGTACCCTTGAGTGCTAAAAATAGAAGCTGTTTTTTAAAAAGCAAGAAAAGTAAAACATAAAACAAAACAAATAAATGTTTAGCATCATGCACAACTGGATATTACATTACTGCTCAATGCCCAGTGAAAATGTGGTATTTTAAACCACTGAAAACTCACCAAAAACCACCGTTTTCGCCCCAGAAATGTGAAATCTGGACCACTTTATTTTTTCAATAGCCATCAATCACCCAGCAACCTCCATTACGGTTGATTGACCATGCGCAGGACAGCGGAAGTGGAGTTCTCTCTTCTTTGATCCACTGATTGTAGCCTAACAAACTCGCCTCAATCTGGGCCATTCACGGGGGTGGGGTGGGGGGGGGGGGGGGCTATGATGGGGAGGACGGGTGCAATACGTCTCATTTTAATTCTCCAGTGTCATTACATCATTGTTCTGTATTTCATTACATCAGTGTTTTACTAGATCAGTGCCCTGTATTTCATTACATAAGTGTTTCATTACACCAGTGTTTCATTACACCAGTGTTTCATTACACCAGTGTTTCATTACACCAGTGTTTCATTACACCAGTGTTTCATTACACCAGTGTTTCATTACATCAGTGTTTCTTACACCAGTGTTTCATTACATCAGTGTTTCTTACACCAGTGTTTCATTACATCAGTGTTTCTTACACCAGTGTTTCATTACACCAATGTTCTATGAGTCTAGTGGTAAGCGCTGAAACATTTGTTTTTGTATCGAAATTCGAAATATAAATTTTGTAGGGCATTACGGGCATTGTGTGTGTGTGTGCTGTACAACGTCACTGAGGGCACTGTGAGGGCACTGTGAGGGCAGCATGGGGCAGCACTTTCCTGCTGGCTGCATCTCGGACGTACAACGATCCGCTTTTGTGGGGGAGGGGGAAGAAATTGAAACAAAGATTCCGCCAGAATTGTATTGTGGTTTAATAGAGCCATTACTCAACATTAAAAAGAAATACACTTCATTTTTTTTCAATGCCCATTAATTTTATTGCCTTAAACATCGATTTTCAAAGAACTCAAATTTTTTTTTCAAATTTATTACGGACATTAAACTTAAGAAAGCAATTTTATTCCAAAATGTCTTTCCTTAAATGTTTCATTACTTTGTTAAACATTGAATTATCGGGTTAAAAATCAGAGAAAGGTCATGCATGTAAAACAAGGGGTATCACACACAAACAATCGCAGGAAAAAAATCACAGATATTTTGTATCACTATTTTGTCAGGATGGGACGACTCTACCATCAACAGGATAAGGGGAAGTAACTTAGAGAAAAAAATGTGAAATATCGTCAAACTTGGCTGATAGATCTGGCCAAATAAATGACTGTTTGTAGATCAGGTTTTTTTCTCAAAATTCAAGTAACCAGTTTCAATTTTTATTTAGAGTTTGAAAAATTCAGCTAGAACATTTTTTTAAAACTAGAACATTTTTAAAGAAATATTGGCTTCTCATCTTGAAGTTCGAACTTTCGAACTTTGACCTCACGCGGTGGGGTGGGTTAAATAAAGTACACACATTTATTTCATCAGCATATTGATAGCGGCGTTAGTTGAGCTTATGTCCAGGGTTAGATGATTTGGGCGGAGAGGGGGGGGGGGCATTGAGTGCGGTGTGTGTATGGTGTGGTACATTTGGCTTGTGTGTGGTGTGTGTGTGATGTGGCACATTGTGTGTGGTGTGACACACTCATTGTGTGTGTTGTGGCATCTCGTGAGATGTGAGCACATTTGACTTGTGTGTGGTGTTGTACGTTCGGCTTGAGGGAATGTTGGGGATTGTTGGGGAATGTTGGGGAATGTTGGGAAATGTTGGGGAATGTTGGGGAATGTTGGGAAATGTTGGGAAATGTTGGGGAATGTTGGGGAATGTTAGGGAATATTGGGAAATGTTGGGGAATGTTGGGGAATGTTGGGGAATGTTGGGGAATGTTGGGGAATGTTGGGGAATGTTGGGGAATGTTGGGGAATGTTGGGGAATGGTGGGGAATGGTGGGGAATGTTGGGGAATGTTGGGGAATGTTGGGGATTGTTGGGAAATGTTGGGAAATGTTGGGGAATGTTGGGAAATGTTGGGAAATGTTGGGGAATGTTGGGGAATGTTGGGGAATGTTGGGGAATGTTGGGGAATGTTGGGGAATGTTGGTGAATGTTGGGAAATGTTGGGGAATGTTGGGGAATGTTGGGAAATGTTGGGGAATGTTGGGGAATGGTGGGGAATGTTGGTGAATGTTGGTGAATGTTGGGAAATGTTGGGGAATGTTGGGGAATGTTGGGAAATATTGGGGAATGTTGGGGAATGTTGGTGAATGTTGGGGAATGTTGGGGAATGGTGGGGAATGTTGGGGAATGTGGACGATGATATCGGCGACTTGAGCTGCGATAAACCAAGTGATGTAAATGGCGGGTGGCTGCTGTCGCTTGGTGTCAAATGGTGGATGATGTAAGGGCATAGATTGATTGCTTTAAGTTTTTTAGGACGATGTTGCTATAAATAGGTCAATGTTGCTATAAATAGGACGATGTTGCTATAGATGGCGTGAATGTTCAGGCGTTAGACTGGCGTCTCTTTGCGTCTGCTGCGGTGGTGCCGGGTGCCGGAGCTGCGGATGTTGGAGGCCGAGGCTGCCGTGTAGGGCCGGGTCCGGTCGTGGATGTGGCCGGTCGAAGGGTCAGCCGCGAGGTCAAGCCTGGAGTGATGGGAACTGGCAGGGGGAGACATCGATCCCACGCGCCGTAGTGTCCGGCCGTGCGACCGTCGGGGGGCATTTGGGTCGGACACGTTCTCCAAACGAAACTGTTCCAGGGATGACGTCATAGGTAAACACTCCGAATCGGAATCTTCCGAGTCGGAATAATTTCTCGGGGCATTTACTTTTGGCAGGGGTTTGAGTGTCGGTAGGCGCCGGGTGGGCGGGGAATGCTGGACGTCTGCTTGACTTGTGCTGGCCTGGCTCGTCTCAATGACCGCTGGCTCGTGTGTACTCACCCGGCTCAGGCCGTGGCCGGAGTGAGTGGACGAGAGGGCCGTATCGATTGCAATCTGGGTCAGTGACCCGAGTTGAGGACCCGTGTTTTGTTGCTCATCAAGCCACGGTCTCGCGGCGGTTATTTCCCCTCCGGCAAGACAGGGCCCCTTGATAGTTATCTCCCCTTTGGAAACAGCTAGTGGCGAGTCCCATGTTAATTCAATTTCCGAGAGCGTGGTGATGGGAGTTAGGGGGGCCGTGCTCGGGGGGCGTGGGGATGTTATTCGCCGCATCATGATGGCGTCTTCGTAGCTGGGCGGCGATGGGGGAGTGATGGCGGTGAAGGAGGAGGGGTGGGTGACTGGGGTGCTGGTAGATGGTCTCACGGCGCGAGAACACCCCGGGATGGGGATGGGGTTGGAGTGCGCTAGAGACTGACGAGAGCCGTTGCTGTCGCCGGGATGGTGTTTCCTCAAGATGTGGACAATGTCCGAGTCCGACCCGGGGACACTTTTCGACCTGTTCATGATCCCCGTCACTTGTTTCACGCGCTGGGTCTTGCCGCCGCTGGTCGAAGACTTGGCTCTCTCAGGGCGCGCCCCCGCGCTAGTGACCGCCGCTTCAGTGCTGACGTCATTAGTCCTGGAGGAGGCCACGGAGTAGCAGGACAGGCTGTAGGACATGCTGGTGTCGTCAGGACTGACGGGCGTGCCGACGTTGAACCGGACGTTGCCGTTGACCATGGAGAGTGCGGACACGCTGAAGGACGAGGCGCCGTTAGTTTTCCTCTGCAGACGACCCCTGTCTCTCAGCAGCTGCTGGATCTGCTGACGTATACTTCCGCTTGACCCCTCGCTCGAGTCCGACTTGACAAAAGCGCTGCAGCTCTTGAACTTTTTCACCTGGTTCATCGTCACCGTCGGGGTCAGTGACCTTTGACCCACCGATGACCGAGCAGACAAGGTCACGTTGGTCAGACTTCGCGGAAATTTCCCGCCGTTTTTCTTGATGGCCCCGTAGTCACGCCGCATGGCCTGCTGCGCCTCGGCCAACATGGCCTCCGAATAGCTGGGGACGATGACGTTGTTGTTGCGTATGCTCATCTCCAGGTCGACGCTGTTCATGGTACTCACGCGGCTCATGATGGGCGGGTAGCTCTCGGCCTCCAGGTAGTTGCTGCCGAAAAGTTTGTGTATGTGGTAGTGGAGGTGCGCCGTCTTGAACTCGATGATGGCCCTGAGCGGCCAGGAGAGCAGCAGGAGGGAGGCGAGCCAGAAGATGGCGTGCGAGACGTACCAGGGCAGGTTGTCGGGGTCCCTGAAGGCGATCATGTACTCCTTGAAGTCGACGTTGACCAGATCCATGCCCTCGCGGCCCTCCATGTAGTCGTCCTTGGTCTCGTACTCCTGGAAGAACTGGGCTCGCTGCTCCTCGAACTCGAACTCCGTGTCCAGGTTGGCGAACGAGAAGCCCTTGCTGATTTTGATCTTGATGGCCGGGTACTTCTCGAGGTCGGTCAAAGGTCGAGAGATGTCCTTGACCCCGCACTGCGTGTGGTTGAAGGCCGCGCCCGCCGTTTTGGAGTCGACCCTCTCGTAGTAAACCTGTAGAGCAGTGACGTCATTCAGTGATCACGTGATGGCGTGAAATTAAAAGAGTTACCTGCACCCTGGGGTTATCCCCCTTGATCTGAGGTTTGTACTGAGGTTATTTCTACCTTACCCCTGGTCATCGTGACAGATGTTCTGCGTCTACCTCCCCGCTTTGCCCCAGTTAAAAAACCCATTTTACGACATTAAATTAGAAAGTCTGTCAGCTCATTTCTGTTTCTGGCCATCAACGATATTTTTTGAGAATTTAAATTCGGATTTGGGATGTATTTGGTGTGATTGTTAGATTATTTTTAATTGGCAAAAAGTTGATACATAATTGCTGATTCTAGATTAGGGTTTATGCGGATGCAATTATTTTCTCAATGACCGATTAAAAACGGAAAGCTTAATTTCAGACCTGACGGATCATGCGAGGCCACTAATTTACTGAGATGAGCATATTAAGTAGCATGTGGTGGGCGCCATGCCCAGGAAACTCTACTTCCTCTACTTTATCAGGAACTTAACTCGGTAGTTTCCGTGTAGGCACAGAGAACTCTACTTCCTCTACTTTATCAGGAACTTAACCCTCTAGTTTCCGTGTAGGCACAGAGAACTCTACTTCCTCTACTTTATCAGGAACTTAACCCTCTAGTTTCCGGGTAGGCACAGAGAACTCTACTTTCTCTACATTATCAGGAACTGAACTCGCTTGTGGTCCGGGTAGAAATTGTAAGTTCTACTACTCGACAGAGTTGTGTCGTCTGCTGGATGTTGACATTAGATAATTAATTAGATGTTTGAGTTGATTAAAAAACTGAACCGGCTGTAGCGGCGCACCTGGGTGGAGGTGAAGGCGTCACCGTTGCGGTACCTCATCACGTGACGTGTCCTCCTGACGTAGTGGTAGCACGTGGCCTTCCACCAGATGACGGGGAGGGCAGACTGCATCTGGTAGATGGTGTTGTACACGCTGGCGATGTCGCACTGGGGAGTACAGACGTCATGACGTCAAGATCACGTCATAGAGTAGGTCACATGTCATAGAGTAGGTCACACGTCATAGACTAGGTCACACGTCATAGGTCACACGTCATAGACTAGGTCAACATCATAGACTAGGTCATACGTCATAGAGTAGGTCACACGTCATAGACTAGGTCACACGTCATAGGTCACACTTCATAGAGTAGGACATACGTCATAGACTAGGTCACACGTCAAAGACTAGGTCATACTTCATAGACCAGGTCACACGTCATAGACTAGGTCACACGTTGCACGTGAATACTTACCATGAAAACATTACCATCAAACATTTTCCCTAAAAATTTTTAAAGAGAAAATGTCCCATAAACACACCGCCGTGCTGCCCTGCGGGGTACAGCGAGTGACCTTTGACCTACCTTGTACCTGAGTTCCAGCCGTGTATGAGAGTGCCAGCACTCGACCAGGTAGACCAGGTACAACATGATGACGAAGGCCACGGGGATGTAGATGTAGCCTTCCTTACAAGGCCCTGACCTTTCCGTGTTACTGAAGGTCACCTCCATGAAGGTCAAGATTTTCTGGGAACAGAAATACTAAAGGTCAACGTGCTGAGTTTTTGTTAAGGTATCGTTGTTGCGGTCAGTTGTGGTGATTTAAAAATGCTGAACATATGTCACAAACTGACAAAGGATAAGCAACCAAACTTCTGCTAGCTAACAGAGATATTATTTTTCTTACAAGTTTCGGGTTTAGTCAAGCTTTAGGCAAAAACGGCAAAATAACAAAAGTTGCCAACTTTTTACTTTAGAATATGGGCATGCGTTTCTTTCAATGTTGTTTTTTTGTATGCTCATTTTGATTTGAAGTAAATGTACGAAAAACGCGCCGCTTTTCTAAAATATGATCTTACAAACGCTAGAATAATGTACTTTTGTGGCGCTGATAAGGAATATTAGTCCGGACCATATAAGTGAAGTATTAGTCTGAAAGAAATGACGCTAAGCTAAACATTCTTGGTTAAAGAAAATACAGGATCGTTAAATTGTTAAGTTACGGGTATTGTGTGTATCTAGAAACTTCCGCTGTCTGCCCCCCCCCCACTCCCCAACTCGTATAACGATATCGTATGAGCATGTTGTATGTCCATTTGTATGTCCATGTTGTATGTCCATGTTGTATGTCCATGTTGTATGACCATGTTGTATGTCTATGCCATATGTCAATGTTGTATGTCCATGTTGTATGACCATGTTGTATGTCTATGCCATATGTCAATGTTGTTTGTGCATGTTGTATGACCATGTTGTATGTCCATGTTGTATGACCATGTTGTATGTCTATGCCATATGTCAATGTTGTTTGTGCATGTTGTATGACCATGTTGTATGTCTATGCCATATGTCAATGTTGTTTGTGCATGTTGTATGACCATGTTGTATGGCCATGTTGTATGTCTATGCCATATGTCAATGTTGTTTGTGCATGTTGTATGACCATGTTGTATGTCCATGTTGTATGACCATGTTGTATGTCTATGCCATATGTCAATGTTGTTTGTGCATGTTGTATGACCATGTTGTATGTCTATGCCATATGTCAATGTTGTTTGTGCATGTTGTATGACCATGTTGTATGGCCATGTTGTATGTCTATGCCATATGTCAATGTTGTTTGTGCATGTTGTATGACCATGTTGTATGTCCATGTTGTATGACCATGTTGTATGTCTATGCCATATGTCAATGTTGTTTGTGCATGTTGTATGACCATGTTGTATGTCTATGCCATATGTCAATGTTGTTTGTGCATGTTGTATGACCATGTTGTATGTCCATGTTGTATGTCTATGTTGTATGTCTATGCTATATGTCCATGTTGTATGAGGATGTTAAATGACCATGTTGTATGTCTATGCTATATGACCATATTGTATGTCTATGCCATAATGAGCATGTAATCTGCCATTTACCTTGTGTGCTATGGTGAGATGGCACCATGAGATGGCGGCCAGACATCCGACGATCAACAAGGTCAGACACAGACATTTCCAGTGGCCGTCACGCCTGAGTGACGCACACAGAGACTGTCGTACAGGCTCCTGCTGGAGGGGAGAATACAAGGGTTAAGTACAGGGGTCAAGTACAGGGGTCATATACAGGGGTCAAGTACAGGGGTCAAGTACAGGGATCAAGTACAGGGGTCAAGTACAGGGGTCAAATACAGGGGTCAAGTACAGGGGTCAAGTACAGGGGTCAAGTACAGGGGTCAAGTACAGGGGTCAAGTACAGGGGTCAAGTACAGGGGTCAAGTACGGGGTCAAATACAGGGGTCAAATACAGGGGTCAAGTGCAGGGGTCAAGTGCAGGGGTCAAGTACAGGGGTCAAGTAAAGGGGTCAAGTACAGGGGTCATACTGGGGTCAAGTACAGGGGTTAAGTACAGGGGTCAAGTAAAGGGGTCAAATACAGGGGTCATACTGGGGTCAAGTACAGGGGTTAAGTACAGGGGTCAAGTAAAGGGGTCAAGTACAGGGGTCAAATACAGGGGTCAAATACAGGGGTCAGTTACAGGGGTCATACAGGGGTCAAATACAGGGGTTAAGTACAGGGGTCAAGTAAAGGGGTTAAGTACAGGGGACAAATAGAGGGGTCAAGTACAGGGGTCAAATACAAGGTTCAAGTACAGGGGTTAAGTAAAGGGGTCAAGTACAGGGGTCAAATACAAGGGTCAAGTACAGGGGTTAAGTACAGGGGTTAAGTACAGGGGTCAAATACAGGGGTCAAATACAGGGGTCAAATACAGGGGTTAAGTACGGGGGTCTAGTACACGGGTCAAATACACGGGGTCAAATACAGGGGTCAAATACAGGGGTTAAGTACAGGGGTTAAATACACGGGTCAAATACAGGGGTTAAGTACGGGGGTCAAATACACGGGTCTAATACACGGGTCAAATACGCGGGTTAAATAACGGTTCAAATACAGGGGTCAAATACACGGGTCAAAAATACGCTTTAAACTGGAGCCGGACGTTTTCCCGAAAGACACTTGCCCGAATGCCGTTTGCCCGTAGGCCGATTTCCCGAATGGACACTTGCCATTCGGGCAAGTGTCCATTCGGGCGTTTGTCGCATTCGGGCAAGTGTCCATTCGGGCATTTGTCGCATTCGGGCAAGTGTCCATTCGGGCGTTTGTCGCATTCGGGCAAGTGTCCATTCGGGCATTTGTCGCATTCGGGCAAGTGTCCATTCAAAGCGGGTCTACGACAAATTCCCGAAAGACACTTGCCCGAATGCCGTTTGCCCGACAGGTGTTAAATAAATATCCATGTTAAATACTTGTAAGTACAGGTGGTAAATACAGGGGTTTAATTCACATGTTTAAATAACTGAGTTAAATGGTGAGATACAGGTATAAATCATTAAGTGTTAAAAATATTTAACACACTCGTCACTAGTTCTTGTATTTTCCCCACTGGGGAATGTGATGTTAACTAGCTATGTGAGCACAAGGTTGACACAATTTTTAAAATTTTTTATTCATCTTTTTTATTCTCACCAAAAATCCAAGATAATTTTGAACATGCCTTTTTCGGGAAAGTTAAAAAAGCTAATAAATAAGAAAAGTTGAAAGGTCATAGTGTTGACAAAACCAACCGACAGAAGACAATGACCCCTCACCTCCCCCCCCCCCCCCCCCCCCCCAGACATCCGCGCTCGTTGAGATCCAATTCATGTATCCAAATCTAATCAAGACCTGCATATTTCATTCAATTCATCCATTCACCGTCGTCTGTCGCGAGGGAGGGGGTGGGAAGGGGGTGGGGTGAAGGGAGGGGGAGGGGGTGAAGACGCAGTTCGGGTTTCTCAATAGTCATTGTGGATTGAATGTGGATTGTGAGATAGTAATGATTGTGGATTGAATATGAATAGTAAAATAGTCATGATTGTTGATCGAATGTGGATTGTGGATTTAATGTGGATTGTGGATTGAATGTGGATTGAATGTGGATTGTGGATTGAATGTGGATTGTGGATTGAATATGGATTGTGGATTGAATGTGGATTGTGGATTGAATGTGGATTGTGGATTGAATGTGGATTGTGGGCTACATAGCGGTCTATTGTAACACGACCGTGTTGACCATCAGCTTTCAGCAGACGACTTGTCTGCCGTGACTCCCCTGTGGGGGTGGGGGGGGGGGGGGGAAGGGAGATCCCCCAGTCATGTCTGGGGTCAGGACGTGACTTAAGTCAGCAAACAACCTTTAGATTGCATTTATTCAGTTCCATAACTTTGTCAACACGGTGATCACGTGATGCGAACGTCTGAAGCCAGAATTAGATGTCCTACAAATATTCTGGCTCTACAGCCTCTGTCTTAGGGGACACAAAAAAAACACCCACAAGAAAAGCGTTCTTTATCCTACATTCTATCAAAGCAGTTTTTAAATTTGCTGTTTTTTTTAGAAACATTTCTTTGACAAACTTGGGATTTATATTTGTTTATTTTCTTTGCCTTGTCATGGGGAGCATAGCGTCTTAATGGCCATCTAATAAAACATGTCTTCAATAATCTTGTCATGGAAAACATATCTTCTATAGGCACCTCGTCATGGAAAACATTTCTTCTATAGGGACCTTGTCATTGAAAACATTTCTTCGTTAGGGGGACCTTGTAATGGAAAAAATTTCTTCGTTAAGGACCTTATCATGGAAAACATTTCTTTTATAGGGACCTTGTCATGGAAAACATTTCTTCTATAGGGACCTTGTCATGGAAAACATTTCTTGGTTAGGGACCTTCTCATGGAAAACGTATCTTCTATAGGGACCTTGTCATGAAAAACATTTCTTCTATAGGGACCTTGTCATGGAAAACATTTCTTGGTTAGGGACCTTGTCATGGAAAACATTGTCCAAACGCCACAAGTCGCAGCTTGGCTACCAGCTACATGTCTTAAACTTGCTACCCATTTCGTGTCTTAAACTGGCTACGTGACATAATAAATACCCAATTAAATTTGAATCGGCTACCATCTACCTTTCTAAAATTGGCTACCCGCACGTATCTAAAATAGGCTACATGCCACAAGTTAAATTAGCTACATTGGCTACCCGCTACATGTCTACAGTGGCTACCTGCTACCTGTCTACATAGGCTACCCGCTACATGTCTACATTAGCTACCCGCTACATGTCTACATTAGCTACCCGCCACATGTCTACATTGGCTACCCGCTACATGTCTACATTGGCTACCCGCTACATGTCTACATTGGCTACCCGCTACATGTCTACATTGGCTACCCGCTACATGTCTACATTAGCTACCCGCTACATGTCTACATTGGCTACCCGCTACATGTCTACATTGGCTACCCGCTACATGTCCACATAGGCTACCCGCTACATGTCTACATTGGCTACCTGCTACATGTCTACATTGGCTACCCGCTACATGTCTACATTAGCTACCCGCTACATGTCTACATTGGCTACCCGCTACATGTCTATTAACTAGACTGGCAGTCCAGGGAAGGCACGGGGTTTCACCATATGTCCAGCAGAGTTAATCAGACTAATTAGGGCCACACGCCGGCGTGCCAGGGGCGGAGTCTGTGCCAGCGTAGGGGTCTGTGGGTGGGGGTGGGGGTGGGGGTCGGTGTGGGTCTGTGATTTTATCTGATTAGATTTCATTCCATGATAACAAAGATACATAGATCACTCGACTTGAGTTACAGAAGCTAGACTGAACGAGACTTGGGCAACATAGACGAGACTTTGGCTACATAGACGAGACTTGGGCTACATAGACGAGACTTGGGCTACATAGACGAGACTTGGGCTACACAGACGAGACTTGAGCTACATAGACGAGACTTGGAACGAGACTTGGGCAACATAAACGAGACTGCATAGACGAGACTTTGGCTGCATAGACGAGACTTTGGCTACATAGACGAGACTTGGGCTACATAGACGAGACTTGGACTATATAGACGAGACTTGGGCTACGTAGACGAGACTTGGGCTACATAGACGAGACTTGGACTATATAGACGAGACTTGGGCTACGTAGACGAGACTTGGGAAGAGACTTAGTTTACATAGACGAGAATGGGTCGGCGTGGTCGAGTCGGTAAAGCTCATGGTTGCTAAACCAAAAAGTCTCGAGTGCGAACCCCCGGGCAGATGAGGCTCGTTAGCTGGGGACAGCCACTCTTCTAGGAGAGACAACTCCAAAATTAAACAACTGCTGCCTTGTAGTTTGTTCTTGGTTGGACAAAGGCTATGGACGCATATCCAAAAAGAAAAGCAGGCTGAAATCGGAGTCAATGGCCTCAATGGCGCATAACCAGTTGACACGTAACGCTTAATTGTGTTGGAGGCGTGGTCGAGTCGGCAAAAAGCTCATGGTTGATAAATTCGAACAAAGACTCGAGTTCAAACCCACTGGCAGATAAATCTCGATCCCCTTCAACACTAATAATTAAGAACGAAGAAGAAGAAGAATGGACGAGAATTTGGCTACATAGAAGAGACTTGGGCAACATAGACGAGAATTTGGCTACATAGACGAGACTTGGGCTACAAAGACGAGACTTGGGCAACATAGACGAGACTTTGGCTACATAGACGAGACTTTGGTTACATAGACGAGACTTGGGACGAGACTTGGGCAACATAGACGAGACTTGGGCTACATAGACGAGACTTGGGACGAGACTTGGGCAACATAGACGAGACTTGGGAAACATAGACGAGACTTGGGCCACAGGCTAGAATGGTGTTAGTGTAGCTGAAATCTTTACTCTAATCTGCCACTGACACGTTTCTACAAAACTGTACGTGTTGTACTAAAACAAAACACACATTTTTTTTTTTTACAAATTTAATAAAAAATATACACGTAGATTGAGTCACCGCCCCCACCCCCCTTCCCGTGTATAATTAGTGTTCAGTGGATTTCCCCATCGAGTGATTGCTGTACAGAATGCAGACAAGAATATCAAATGAACCAGCTGATACTGAGTGCGGACTAGTCGCTTTGATACCATCTCTTAATGGCGGGTACACAGCATCCCACAGCGGGTCCTGCCC